TAAGGAGCACCGACCTGCCGGTCTGGAGTGGCGCACTGAAAGACCAGCACGCGGTCTGGCCGCCCCTCTCTTGTTCCTCCCGAGGTTGAGCTGCGCCAGGCCAGTGCAGGACAAAGGGGCAGCTTTCAGCCTCTGTAAATGGCCTATTGTGCCAGGGGAGGAGGAGGAGGAACGAGGAATGGCAGCGACTCACCAGCTTGGCTCACTGTTTTAAGGAGAGAAATCGGGATTTCTTCCTTGGCTGCTGCCGGAGCCGGGACACTCTCTCTGTGGGGTTGTGTGAGGGCCCATTCCTCATGAAGGGCTCCTTCAAACCACCATTGCTCTGCTGGGGAAAGCTTGAGAGAGGGCAGAAGGGAGGAACATCTGGACCCCTCTTCCGTTTGTTCCGTTTGTGAATAACATGAAGAAAATAAAATGCTAATGTAAGTAGAAGTCTTCGGGGCTGCAGGAGCTGTGTGTGTGTCCCTGTGTCCTCAGAGAATGACGCCCTTGTGAGTCACGAGTGCCCGCTGGCCCTGGAGCACCTTTTCCTGGTGCAGACACAGTGGCGGAAGGTGAGCTTCATTGCACAGTGGAGCTGGGACCCTTGTGCTCAGAGGCCAGGGCGGTGGGGTAGATGCTCATTGTTCGATGAGACTCCAGACGCCGAGTTCTCCTGATCCCATGGAGTGCGAGTGCTGGACGGACCGTTAGGAGCCAGCTGCTCCTAAAGGCACCCGACCTGGGACAGGCCCAAGGGCACTGGTGAGCCCCACGTGGGAAGGAGTATGTTGATGCTCTCAGAGGAGAGGCGGTGATCCACTGGAGGGTAAGAAATGTCCACGTGGAGGAAACCGCATGAGTTTGGAGTCCTGGGGACTCAGATTGGTGTCCTGGGGACACTGGGGGAGGCCTTCTAAGTCCCGAGCCCTGGTCTCCCCATCATCATTTTGTATTTGTACTGTGATGCTCGGATAAGGCGCCAATGGGAAAGTCCAAAACACCAGCTTGGTGCTAATTGTGTGATGAGCTGGTTTTCTGCAGGTTCGGGCAGCTGGGAACCGGGTTTCTGCTGTCTGACGGAGTGCGGTCCTGTTTCTGTCCCCTGCCTGGGGCATCTGTTTCTACCCAGGTCTATTTAAAGGTGTCCTGTGCTCTGCTTCCTCATACTGGGCTCGTACCAGGTTTCTTGGACCCTGGCCACACTCCCTGTCGTTCTGTGTGGTTTCAGACTCCAGCTTTAAAGGAAATTCAAAAGACCCAGTGGAGCAAACCCTCTTCTTGTCGGTGCCGAGAGGAAGGTGCCCAGGACTAGCTGAGGGGAAGCAGAAGCTGGCTGCCAGTAATCTCCTGTGTTCCGAGAAATACCGGCTACTGTCTGTGTAAGCCTTTAAGCCGATTGAATCACATTCGTAGCACACAGCAGCAAGATTATGTGCCTGGGCTATAAACTTCCTGAGATGATGGTGTGCAAGTTTGCTTTTGAAAGAATTTCAAAAATAGTACAACCAGAACAGCATTGGAATGAGAATAAATTCTGAGCTTTAACTATTCGTTGGTGAGTTCATGAGTCTTGAGACTCCTTAGAGACCAGTTATTGACTGAGACTGTCTTAAAGCAGGATGTTCATGTTCGCCTGCAGCATTTAAAGGCTGTTTATTGCGGCTCATTTTCTTTGAATATAGGTCTGTCTCCACTTCTAAATGTCCCAAGCACCTTTTCCTTATAGCAGTTAAATAGAAGGGGGAAGGTTTATAATGCTCTTTGTTTCACATGTGAGAGTTGTTCTTCCCACAAATCTAAGCGAGGTGTTAGCTTAATTCTTCATTGCAGAGACTGTGTGTCCTACACAAGGCATCCACTAGTTTGTTTGGTGTGGTTGGTTTGCAGCTGGTCCCCAGCCGCCAGCTGAGAGGCATGAAGTAAACAAACTTCTGTAGCTTGTCATTAGCCACAAAGATAAGAATGTAGCTGGCTTTAAACCCTCAGCATGGCAGGTCAGTATCTAACAAAATGCTTTTGCACGAGTGCCACTGCAGTTTTTTGATGTGTTTAAAAAGTTTCCTTTCCTAGACATTTCTATAAATAGACTGATTTCATTCTTAGTATAATGCTGTCTACAGCTTGGCTACCGCCGATGCTTAAAATAGAAAAAATCACGTGCTTATGACTGGATTTGTTAGTGAGGGAATTATTTAATATTCTCACACAGGGATGTGATTCTTTCAGACAGCCCCTGCAAATTCACACAATCTAGGTTTTATGGGAATTACTTGGGGGAGGGATGAGGCAGGGGTGCTTTCCCCTCTCACTGAGTGTGTGAGGCTGCTTTGCACCCACACAACTGCAGGGCTGTGTGAAGTTCCACGCCCGAGGACTGGGCTCAGTTCCTCAGCCAGGCCACTGAGTCCAGTGTATGCCTCTCCCCCTCGCAGTGGCCCTGCCCGATCACTGGGTCTGAGCGGTGGCGACTCTCATCGAACCCGGTGAGGGTGCTCATGGGGTTTCGTGTCTTCCCCAGCTGACCAGCCCTCGGAGAGCCGGCCCCACCCCCAGCCCTGTCTCCCGGCTCCTAGCACGTGCCCGGCACACACTGAATGCTCAGACGTGTGGAATGACTGGAGTAGCCGGACCCCTGTGGACCCGTCCAGAATAAAGTCTGCTGACAATCTGTCTCATTCTTGGTCTGTCTTGTGTTGGTCCCACATACCACCCCACATCTGATCATTTCAGTGGCTTTTCAGAACACACCCATTGTCTCTTCTTATTGGGAAGCTAAGCAGAAAGAAAACAATGTCTGTGTTCAGAACCGGCACTGCCGGTGACACCGACTGATGCCTGTCCCTGCCCATGGGTGGAGCAGTGGGGTGACTCTGCTCCTAGCTTCTCATTGGCCCATCCTTCACCCTGTCTTCCCCTGAGCAGGCAAGTATAGATTTTGTCTGCTAGTTACCTTTAGCCCAGTGGGCAGTGGCATAGGACCCAGCATGTGACGAATGCCCTGAGAGACCTTGGCAAGCCGGGGCCCCTCCCCCACCCCCACTCCCGCCCCCACCGTCTTTTCTGGTTCTGCAGTGGTGTGTCACCTAGCAGTCAGCTGCTGGTGGCACAGATGGTGAGTGGCTTTGTGAGTGCTGGTGCTTTCGCTCCAGAACTATGGCCTGAAGAAATTTGCTTATCTGTTCCTTCTCTGTTGTCATGTCAAACCTGGATATTTCCTGTGTGTGTGTGTGTGTGTGTGTGTGTGTGTGTGTGCATGTGTGTATGTACACACACCTACACAGAGCTGTTGTAGCACAAGTGTGCATGAGCTGAATGGATGCATTCCACTGGCTCCTTTAGTGTTGATGGCTGGTGAAAATGCTTGCTATTCTGATCCTCTGTAAAAAAAAAAACCAACAGTACCGACTGAAATTTAAAGAGGATTTCTATATTTGAAAAAAGAGGGTTATTTTCTGTCTGTGACCTATCTGTTTAAAACAACATATAATAAGTAGCTCACAAATACCATCTGAACTTGTGGCTGAATTAACACTCAGTGGATTGCCAGGAAGTTTTTAAGAAAGCTCAGATGATTTTCTGCTGTCTCCTGCCTTTTACAGGCAAACATGCTATAGAGACATCCCTCACCAAGATTTTCCTAATGAGGATTATTCTTATTTGTTATCTGTACTTCACATTTTTTCATGCCGATATCTATGTAATTGTCTATAACGTGCACTTTGAGGCTTTAATATACATTGAAATTGTCATCTAATTTTCTTCTGTGTGTTTGGCTCCTTAATTTCATTTGTAAACTCTTTATAGTAAGACACTTTTTTATTACCCCTATACCTTGCTGTTTGGTGTGCAGGAGTAATCACAGAGTATCAGTAGAGGACATAATAATGACATTATTATTATTATTATTATTAAAGTGCCTATTATTATTATGTTTTATTATTATTAAAGTGCCTCCCATTTATTGAGCACGTTCAGATGCCTTGTACCATTCTAAGTTCTATGTAAATTATTTACTTATTATAAAAGCCCTAGGAAATAGGTACTATTTTTAATCTCCATTTATACATGAGGAAACTGAGGCATAGGGAGGTGAAGTCATTTGTCCCAAACCTTATAGCCAATAGGCTAAGGAGTTAGGATTTGGCTCTAGATTCCGGGGTCGTAACCCTGCTTCTATGCTTTCTCTCAACTGTCACGCTATAATCTGTCTGCAGATATTTGGTGGTTGGTTTAAAGTTTATGCCCATCAACTTATTGTTTTATTCTAGCTACACAATCTGGAGGAGTAGAAAAGAGACTATTTTGTCAGAACAGCCAGCTACAGTTCTGCCGCGTTGGTGCCGTGGCTTCCCTGGTGCTGTGGGGGTGGGGCGGGGAGGCAGGCCGGCGTTGGGCGGGTCTGTTTCCCAGGTGGGGAGCTCGGTCTGAGCTCCGTGGGAAGAAGGGAGAATTGTGGGCCCTTTGGGGGTTGGGGCTTATTTGTGCCTCTTCACTCTTGTCCCCATTCGTGTGGTGACCAGAGTTGAATGCGTGTGACTGGATGGAGGAGAACAGAGGTACAATACCAGGGAGAAAATGGAGACTTACGCCACTTATGAAGCATTTTATGGAAAGAATTCTTAGTGACAAACATTTTAAAATGTGGTTAATGAAAACTTTACCCAAGACGATAGCATTAAAATGAGTTCCTAAGGTGATTTTTACAGGAAGGAAATTGGAGAGCCAGGAGAGACTCTGAACTTAGAATTACATAGAACTTAGAATGGTACAAGGCATCTGAAAGTGCTCAATGAATGGGAGGCACTTTAATAATAATAAAACATAATAATAATAGGCACTTTAATAATAACAATAATGTCATTATTATGTCCTCTACTGATACTCTGTGATTACTCCTGGCCTGCACGACTGCGGGTTCGCTGCCTCGGCCACCCAGTGAGGTGGCAGGCCTCCGGGGCCCCCGGGGGAGAGTCCCGCCTCCCGGGAGTGAACGTGACGTTTTTCTCTCCCGACAGAACTCAGCCTAGGGTGGCACCGACACCGGACCATGCAAGCCCACGAGTTGTTCCAGTACTTCCGCCTGCCGGAGCTGGCTGACTTCCGCCAGTACGTCCGCACTCTGCCCACCAACACGCTCATGGGCTTCGGCGCCTTTGCGGCACTGACGACCTTCTGGTACGCCACGAGACCCAAGGCCCTGAAGCCGCCGTGCGACCTGTCCCTGCAGTCGGTGGAGGTGGCGGTGAGTGGAGGGTGGGCCTGCCCGCTGGTCTCCTTGGGAGGGCACTTTGCAAAATGTGCTCAACACGGGGAAGCTTGCTGGTGATTCTAGATGGAATAGAAGCCCGAGTGTGGGTTAGAGGGACACATGGGGTGGTGCCAGGTAGGTGGCTGCCCAACGTCACGTAAAGGCTTGTTCTGGAAACCCCATGGCACTCCTTCCCTGTGCTGGGCTCGGAGGATTCCAGGGCAGGAAGGACGGGCAGAGTTTCGGCTCTCACGGGGCTTCTGCTTCTGCAGAGAAGTGGGCTGTCAAATGTCACAGAAAGAGGACTTCTGCTTGTGCTGTGCCTGACAGTTAGAACCCAAGCCCCAGCTGCTGAATGGGAGTCTGGGATTTCAAACAGGATGAGGCCGGACTAGGAGCCTGCCAGAATAACTGGGCTACAGGATTTAGGGTAGGACATTCAGAAACAAGGGCACTCAGGGGCGTCCGAGGCTGAGCTGGTGAGTGCCATGGCTGCGTATAACTTGGGCCAACAAAAGGTCATACTGTTGTTATTAGGAAAGTTACAGGAGAGTGTGTGTTCCCTAACTTAGGCTGCACTGGTGGGCCGGCTGCAGAAGTCTAGAGGCCCTTGCAGACCGACTCTCTCCCAGGGCCCTTACTCTTGACCCTTCTCAAGTACCCCCCCCCAACCCCTCATCTCTCCTCAAGGTTAGGGAAGGGCTGCAAGGTGAAGAAGCCAGTTCTCTCAGCCGTGCATGGTTCTTCACCTACTCACGACTTTGTTATTTCTCGCTTTCCTAGCCAAGTCAGAATGGATTTCCAATATGCATTACTTTTGACATAAATGAAAGATCATGTTGCAAATGCAGAATTGCCTCATTTGTGCTTGTAGGTGGAGGTGAGAGGCCTTGCCTGCCAGGGGCTGATGGGCACATGCGGAGAGTGGGCCCTTCCACACAAAGCCAGGCCTGATTCGTAGCTTCTGGCTCCTGATAGATGTGTCTGTCTTACTCATGACAAATGTAAAAATAGAAGGACTGAGCTAGTACTGAAGGAAAATGGCTTTAAGATACTTTATTTCTAAACAAAAGGTAAATTGTACTTCACCTCAGCTGACCACACACGAGTGAGGAGTAGAATGTAACATTTTCTGATGGGGATGTGCGGGCCTGGGGTGGAGCAGCCCTGCGGGGCCTGGGAGGAGGCCTCGCACGTCTGACTTGCAGGGGCTGCCACTGGGCAGCGGCTGTAAAGGCCTGATTTCATTTCTTGTATGAAAAGTTGTGGGAGCACTTACGGGGTGGTTTGTAAGCTCCATCTTAGCATGAAGTCATGGAGTCTTATTAAAAGATTCACACAGGTTCTCTGTGGAACAGTTTAAAATTGCTGATAAGCAGAAAGAAAATTAAAATCTATACTTTCACTACCTGGTATATAGGCTTCCTGATTTTTCTCCTTGCTTATAGAAATGGATTTAGCTCGGGTTTTCAGAACTTGTAGGTATTTGGTATATAAAATTCTCTTTGCACTTCTAGAAAAAGAGCTTAAAATACTGAATTTGAGGTTAGCCTCCGAGTCAGGACACTTAGTAATTATAGATGCTGTTAGAGAGCTCACACCTTCGTACAGACCTCGGTGGTGGCAGAAAGAGGGACGTGCTTTGCTTCCTTAGGTACCAGTCAGGGGCATGTACAGCTGGCACTGCCGTGGGGGCCGGTTGCCGGGTGAAAACATCGCTGCTGCCGCGTTCCCCGTGGTGGCGAGTGAGCACCGTGCGCCAGTCCCCACGCTCCCACCACCTCCTGTTCCCCACTGCCCTTTCTTCACCCTCCCCTTCCCACGGACTTGACGTGGATGTGAGGATGGGAAGACTCTGCCCTTTTTGGTTTGGCTGCCTCTCCTCTCTGCCCACACTGGCTGCCTCCCCTTTCTGCCCACACTGGCTGCCTCCCAGCTACACTAGTGTAAAGCAGCCTCACGGGCTTTTTAAAAAATAAGTTACAGCTTGTAAAATTTCCCTTTACAAACCAGGTTTGTAAAGAGGATCCCAGTGCTCACCATGCTCTGCACCTGTGTAGGAAAGGCAATGGAGACATAAGCTAGAGAATGGGACAGAGAAGCTGGACGCAGCAACAGAATCCAAGGGGTGTTTTAGCGTCGTGAGCACGGTTCGATCTGCAGCCTGTTTGCAGAGCTGTGTCCCTCTGCACGTACAGCTCTCCACCATGGCCACGTGAAGGCTGGCCTTTCCCCACGTGCCGGAGTAGGACTTCCGTCTAGCACTGAGTAGAGGCGTGTGTGTGTGTGTGTGTGTGTGTGTGCCTTTTTTCTCAGTCACTTTCACAAGTGATGATGCAGATTCTCCAGTTTCAGCTCCTCTCAGCCTGTTCTCCGTGTTTACAGTCCCCACATCCCTCAGCGAAGAAGATCTTCACTGGGGGGACTGGAAACTCTTGGGACTGGTCAGGGTGCAGACCTCTGTGGCTGCAGTGAAGGGACCAGGAGAGCAGCAGGAGCTGAAAGGGACCAAAGGGACACGGAGATGTGGTGGGGCTGGACCTGGCCGCTCTGTAGACCAGGCAGCCCTGGGCAAGTGCACTGGCCTTTCGTGCCTTCAGATTCCTCATCTGGAAGACAAAGGGGCTGGTACATTCCCTCTGTCACCGCTGTTAAGAGGGCGGTTTAGAGACATGCAGAGCATCTGCCTGGCCCCTGGTGAGTGTTCAGTGAATGTCAGTCTTCTTCTGCAAAGGTCTCCTCTTTCGACCCTGACGCTCACATGTGAGAAAACGACCGAGTCCAGAGAGGTGAGGTCGGGTCGTGCAGTCCGAGGGAGGTCGAGAGCTGGGTCACGCCACCTTCATTACCGTGACCGAAAGTCATGCGTTGTGCTAAGTGAGATAAGCCAGTCAAAGAAGACAAGTACTATTGGATATCCCTCATAGGTGGAATCTAATGAACAAACCAAACTAACAAGCAAAAATAGAGACAGACCCAGAGATAGAGAGCAGGCTGACAACTCGGGGGGCAGGGGGCAGTGGAGGGGTCAAGCAAAAAAGAAAAGAGAAAGAACTCATGGACTAGGGCAACCGTGTGGTGATTGCGGGGGGCAGGGGTGTGGGTGGGGGGAAGAGGGCATGGGGGGATAAACAGTAACGGGGAAAATGCAGCAGAATGAAAACAAGAAAGCGATGTACCGTAACTGTGGCTCTGTGGTGGCTGGGGGCGCACAGAAACAAGGACAACAAGGAAAATTTGGGTCTGCCTAGATAAATTGGAAGAGTCGGTGGCTAGAGATTTTGATTCCCAGGGCAGACTCTTCTGAGAATGGAGGTGCAGGCAAAGGAATCTGAAGGCAGCAACGAAAATGAAAGGAGGAAGGGAGGCAGGTTAGGTAAGAAGCGCCGTCTGGGATCCTGCACGTAGGTCAGACGCAGGAAATGGTCAGCTCATTGCCCCAACCATCTCTGGGTTCACTGGTTGCTTCTCGTTTGCACCCCAACCAGAGGTTGAACCCACAACCTTGGTGCATCGGGACTGCGCTCTAACCAACTGAGCCACCTGCCAGGGCCTAAAACTTGGGCTTTTTAATAACAATGTAGGAAAACCTTGCTAACTTAAGATTTTCTCACTAAACTCGCATTACAGGAACAATTGTGTTTCCACGTGTTGTTGGACTTGTCCGCTAACCTGTAAGTGACTGTTCATTCGAACACGGCAGCAGGAGGTTTGCGCCAGTCATGGGCCCTGGCCGAGGGTGGGTGGGCTGCGAGGTGAGGGGTGGGCATCACTGAGGCCCGGAGAAAGGGTTTCTGAGCCCTGTGCCAAGACCAGGCCACAGAAGTATCAAGTAGCAGTCTCTAGGAATTCAAAGGAAGGACGGCGATTGTTTTAGCAGAAAAATTGTTTCCGGGTTCCTTTGAACTGGGAAGAAAAGTCCAAGTTCACTGTCATGCTGCTCTGAAAACACATGCCATTTTGTAAAAACGATGCTACTTCTCTGGGGCTTCATCTGTCAGAGTGGGTGCACCTAAGTGACCGAGATGTGTGTGCCATGCTTGTTTAAGTTTAAAAATAGCCCCCCCAAAACAGGTTCAACTTGCACCAAATGAAAAATGACCAATGTGAGCCAGCCTAGACCTCGGTTCCCGCAGGCTTCACCTCCAAGGTGGAGCGGGAGGCCTCTGCATCCTAAATGGCAGGCATGGGGAGGTGCCACGGGCCAGAGTGTGTTTGTGGGAACTCGGATCGGATTTTGTGGCTCTATACTTTCTCCCCTTTCAGGGAGGTGGCAGGTGCTCTTTTTCCTCCTGGGGCCGGCAGATTCACCCTGGTGATGAGTTCAGTGGAGTTTAGCAGCAGGGAACCAGAGACTGCTGAGTACTGCCAGCCTCACCGTCCCTAATCTGCAGATCGGGGCAGCGGAGCTCGGGAAGTTGGAAGCTGGAGAAAGAAAAGGAAAAGCATTCAGAGGATTAGGGGGTCAGATTGAAGAACCAAAAACCCCAGTCAGGCACCAGTAATCTGGACCCACCTCCTCAAAGAGGAAGGTGACAGGTGTGTTGTGGGCAAGTGTGAACCTGCTTGTGAAGCACAGACGAATCTCACAGCCTACCAGCCTAGCAGGTGCTCAGTACATACTCACCTTCCATCTTCCCCACGCCGCCCAGGTGACACCGGTGTGGATTATCACTGCAATGGTCCTGCCCTTTCTGAACTCAGTTGGGTGCAAAGGATCTCGGGAAGTGAGCTAGTTAAATGGTGAGCATAACTAGTGAACCTGAGTGTTCATTGCTACCCTGTGACCTTTACAGGTCAGCATGATGGGGGTGTCTAGGTATTCTTTTCATTCTCCTGTCCACTGTCATTCAGAAAAGGTGGTCCTGAGGGCTGTGGTGGGCTGGCCTTTGAAGGCCCTGTTTGATCCGTCAGAGATGTGTCTGGTGTTCAGGGCAGAGCGCCCCTCTGTGGGCTCAGTGGGGGCGGTAGCTCTGGGCCTGTTCATGGAACGAAGCAGGGGAGGGTCTCCGGGCGGGGTGAGACGCACATAGAATGTAAGTGCTGGGAGGAGTCCATTTCCATGGAGGATATTGAACCGGGGGGGGGGGGCGGAGTCTCTTTCACCCCCCAGGACTGTCGTTCCACCTGCCGCATTTTCCCCCAGAGATGAGTTTAACATTAAAACCCAGCCAAGTCTTACCAGCCGCTTTAAACTGGGTTCTCCTCTTCCTCCCTCTCTGCTCTCTCTCCTGTCCCCTCCTCCCTCTGTCCCTTGTGTCCCTTCTTCTTCCTGCCCTATCCCCATCCCTCTCCTTAGAGGGAACAAACAAGGGGATAGGATGGCTAGTTACTTGGCCGTTGTGGCCTGTAGATGTCCATCTTCTAGGGGGAGAGGAAGGAGACCACAGCACACAAAGCTTGGGCCTTTCTCTCCCCCGGAACCCTCCAAGGATGTGGTTTGCTTTTTCATTTAGACACAGGAGTGGCACAAAATGACCCGCATGACCCGCACATGGAGGGCTCCCTTTTGTCAAACGCCGGCAGGAGTTCTAGTCTGGGGACCACTGACACCCAGATGTCGGCTGCGGTCCCGCTCGTGCTGTGCCCAACAGGAAGGTGAACTTTCATTTCTTATTTCAGTCCACATGGCCCACCTCCGGGGCAGCCTTAGCCGGCACGGATGGGGCAGAATATTTGCAGGGCTGCTGCTTTCACTGTGGGGCCCTGATTCACCATCTTTTTTTAGCTGGGAAACTGCACGGCCACATTGAAAAGTGCACAGCAGAAGAAGCAAAAGACCCATTACCCTCCCTGACTCACGGTCTTATTCACTGGTTTCCTGCCCATTTCATTGGAGTTGTGTGCTTAGCTCACCCTGTTTCTCGAGCAAAACTGACACCCCCCCAGCCCTAATCCTCAGGTGATGTCAGACGTCAGGGAGACCCAATGCGAAGTGTTTTTGTCATTTGAGTAGGTGGTCCTAGAAATAGGTGCTTGAATAACCCAGGAATCAAACCTCTGGCTTTTGAAGTGGCTGGGTTTTCGGAGCACGTGCAGGCACTTTCGGTCCGGTTACTACGAGCGTGCTTCCCCACCCTCAGGGTCACTCCCTCCCCCGCGTGGCTGGGACCCGGGTCCCGGCACCGGGTGCTGACACGCAGCGTTTCCGCTCAGGCAGAATGGCCACGTGTGTGCACATCGGAAATGATTCTTTGAGGGAAGGTGACCACTTCGCAGAGCAACACATTTCAAAGTACAAGTCTTGCGGCTTAGTCTCCACCACCTGTTCCGGTCATTCCCATCTCTCGAAGTTGGAGAGGAAGTGACAGTGTGACCTTTTACCCTTCTTCACCTGTGCCTTCAGTCGGCACCAAACCCAAGTGCATCTGCTAATTATTCTGACTGCAGATTAGAATAGCAACAGATATCTCGTCCTCGTGGTACTTTGTCAAGGGGAAGGCTTTGTTTGGGACTGGGCCGACTCCTTGACTTTGACTGTTTTACCTCAAAGTCCTGAGGGTGGTGTACCACCTGCGAATTAACCTAACCAAAGAATTGTTTAACCGAAAGTTGGTTATCAAATTGTACTCTAGAGCAGTGATTCCCAAAATGGGCCTTGGGAAGTTGACCTCCTGTGTCGAAGGGACAGACAGGGTCACCATGTAGCCAAAGCTAAGCTTGATCTCTTCTCTCAAACCTCCCCCACCCGCAGCCCTCTATTTCCAATAAAACGGGACTGCTGTCTTCTCTCCTACACACAGTCACTTGCCAAACCCGCTCCACCGGGGCTCTGCACGTCTGGTGCCCACATCCCCCCACTCCTGCCGGCCTCTGCCCTAGTCCTGGTCCTGCGTGGTGGTGTCCCCAGCCTCTGCCCCTCCGTCCTGCCCTGCACGCCACTCACACTCTTGTGGACTTCTTGCTGAAGCCCGGACTGCTGCTCACACCCGCAGAGTGTCCGACTCAGCAGGTCTGGTGAAGGGTCGGCGAATTTGCTTCCCTGGCAGGAGCGCATGTGCCCGAGCCTCCCTTGAGGACCTGGGCTCTGGGGTGAGCCGTGCTCCACAGACGCCACGCTGCTCCTGTCTGCTCACTCTGACTTCCTCCCTGCCCTCCTCTTCTGGTCACGGTGGGCTCTTGGGGACAAACTCTGTGTCCTCTCCCCTGAGGCCCATCTTCCCAGGTGACAACCGAGGGCAGGCTCAGCAGAGGGCACGGAGAGGGCAGCATCGCTTTTGCAGAGAAGGCGCCGAGCAGAGGGTCGGGAGGACCCCTGGCTGCCCGCACCCCCGGGCAGAGTGGCCATTGGCTCCTCTGCACAGGCACACAGCTCAACTTTTTCCTTCTTCCCATTCTCCATCCTTTAACCCTCCACCCCTTGTCTCTTCCTGCTTACCCATGGGTCTCTGGGTGGCTTCCTGGAATGAAGAGGCTTCTGAATCTTACTATGAAGTCGCACAATTGCTTCTGAATTTTAATCTGAATAGTTTTCGTAGTAAAGATACTGGCTAAGAAGGACTGGGATTGTAGTTAGGGCACGTTATAGGGTGTCCGAGTGATATTCTACATATTCACAGTGTACAGGAGAGTTCATTTAACTAAAAATAACCCTGGATGGGGACACATGGCCCCCTCGTTTCGCAGAAGAGAAAATAGACTCGGAGATTCAGTACTAATGATGCGTGATTCTATTTCCATCTTTATGTGCACAAAGAATCATTTCTTTGTTTTCTAAAGTAGCATGGGGTATTTAATGATTATATTTCGAATCATCGCTACAGGTAGTAGAAAGTGTCTGCCAAGACAGAGAAGACTGTGTGAAGATTAAAACATATTATTGGGTGATATTTTACTCCAGAGAATTATTAGCAGTTTTAGATCAAGAGTTAAATACACATACGTAGCACCTCGTAGATCCTAGAAGATCTGTATAAATATATACGCATAGAAAAAGGCCCGGAAGGGGCTCACCCATCTGGTAACAGGGGCTGGTCATAGTTTCCTTTGACATACTTCTGTGTTATTAAAAATGTTCTCTATGTGAATGATAACCCGGCGGGGACAAGCGAGAGCGTGTGGGAAGAGGAGTGAGGAAACCTCACCCTTTGCCCCTTCTCCCTGGAGGCTTTCCTGCCTCCTCCCTTCAGACCCCAAGCCAGAAAAGACCTGTCCCACTTCTGAATGGTCCTTCCTCGTGGTACCAGAAGTCCTTCATCAGACTCTAATTTCCCCAGGAGAGTGTTTCCTAACCGTTGCAAACGGGAAGCCCCTTCTCTGAAATTAAAAAACAAAACAAAAACAAAGATAAAAAACCCCACAAGAATCTTGCATCATAGTAGCTGAACTTTTATTCCACGGTCTCTAAGGAATGCCTGGTGTTCCTGCGGGCACCTGGGCCCCTTGCTGTGTGTCTGCGGCACCCAAGGGTGCAGCAGCTCTCTGGGCAAGAACAGCTACCCCTTCTGTGGCCGGGCAACTGGTCAGGAGCTCCAGCACAGAGCAGGTGTGCCCCTGAGCCGGCAAGTGCAGGCTGCGGAGAGGAGGGCGCGCCGTCCTGCCAAGTCTGTGCACCCGCAGGCGCTGCACGTGCCACGGGCACAGACCACGTGGGCGCAGACGGTCTGCACACGCCCCGTGGCCTGGTCATAACTGTGAGGTGCTCTATGGGACACCAAAGTCCCTAATGCACCATAGTGCTGTTGGCAAAGAGAGAAAAGAGGGCTAATAAACTCAAAAAGACCCTGACCAACTCTGATAAAAACTAAAGAATTTAGATAACAGTAAGGAAGTGAAACGGAATGGTGTGTTGTTTCCAGAAGCAGGGACAAAACTGGTCCTCGGTGACACACCCTGCCCTTCAGCTCCTTCGGCAAACACTGGGGAGCCACCCCAGGGCCCGGGGGATCGTGGGTGCACACGGCAGGCTTTGCATTACCGACACTTCTCCCTAATCGGCTCCTCTGTCTGTCTTTTTCCACAGGGTAGTGATGGTGCTCGGAGGTCCCCCCTGCTTGCTAGTGATGAGCCCCTGGAGTGTTTCTACGATGACGTCAGGACCTTATACGAAGGTTTCCAGAGGGGCATACATGTGTCAAGTGAGCATCGTGCTGAATTTATGTGGCTGACACTCAGTGGCTTCCATTCGGAAGGAGTGGCCCTCCTGAATGGAAATCATTGCTTATTTGTGGCCCTCGCCTATGTCGTCTGCCTACTCAGTATCATTCGGGCAGCCCTGTCTGCTCCCGTAACTTCTCCAGAGTGAGTCCCGAAGCTCCCGGCCCCCTGTAGATGTGGGCTGTGGGCGACAAAGTGGGTTCCACAGTCAAACACGTGTCCGGCATGTCAGGTATTTCACAGAGAGTCACACACAGACTGGCTCCTGTGGGCTGACCTTTGCCGCAGTCAGGAGACCTCCGTAATTGGGCCTGGTGCAGTATTTTTCAACTTATTGATCAGGAGGCTCATATTTTAAGAAATACACACTGACGTCCCAAGGGAACGATATTCCGTCAGCGAAGCGACACTTTGGGAATGGGACTCTGCTTAGTCACAGAGGCGGCAGCAGAGACCCGAGGCCCCTAGCACCCGCCTTCCTTCTAAGACACTCTGTCTTCCAGTCTCCAGCCACACAGGACGTCCTGCGGAGCCACGACCACCTCCGCTCTGGGACCAGCACCCCACACCTCTGTGCTCTTCCCCCTCCCCCGAGGTCATAACGCCCCTTCTCTCCTCCCCCAGCCCAGGGTGCTGATGTGGTCCACCTGACCCTGTAACACTCAGACTGCCTTTCCGTCTTTCCTGTGAGATCGTCTGGTCCATCAGTCCTCATCCCCTTCTTGTAACTGAGGTGCCCCCTCACCGCCCACATCTGTACCTGTTTCTGGGGGCAGGAGCAGCTGCCTGGCCTTCTGTCCCATCAGCGGCTGCTCTTTGAACGGGGCGGCCTGTCTCCTCTCAGCACTGACACAGCCTGGCACAGTAGGTGCTTCATTCATGAACCCACAGGGAGGGGGGACACCCTCCGCTTCCCCCACCCCTCTTTTTGTTTCGGTCTCTTTATTTCTGCAGGTTCCCTCCTCCTCTCCAGAAATGGCCCTCGAGGTCCGTGCTTTGTTGTTTAAATCTTTTATTTTTGCCTCTAGACTGTAATCTCCCTACAGCAGGGCTGCTGTTGCGCTCTGTCCCCACATTACATTGCACGCCATACGTGCTCAAGCGGTGCCTGCTGTTTTCACCACTTGTTTGGTCCTGGCAAAGCTGGCGTCCCGGTTCAGTGTGCCTGCCCCAGCCCACCTGCCCCCGGACCCCCGTGGTAGATTCATTAAGCCCCTCAGTAGATAGGGAAAGCAACCTACCTGTAGATTATTGAGTTTATGAGTTTTTTCAGCATTAGTATCAGGGTCAGTGTTAGTTTGTCTGTGAGAATAAATACAAGGTAGATCAGCCTAACTATGGACACATGAAATGTATGTATGCGTGTGTGTGCCTGTGTGTGTTCTTTGCCACAAAGTATGTACGTGTATAGATGTGTGTGCATTTCTTCCCTTGTTAGCACAGGATGGGATTCATCTTAGGAGTATGATGACTTAACATTATGCTTCTGAGTGTCCCCTGATGTGAGGACAAGTCATGAAACTTTGTGGGGGTCACTTATGTACTTGGAAAATGAAGGACTTGTATGATGAATGTTTTAGAGAAGATGAGGAAAATAGGTTCAGTTGTTTTAACCTGTCCCGATTGAAGGGAGCTGCTTTGCAGGTTATTTTATTCTCCCCCCACCCCCCAGAAAACCTTTTTGTTCTAAGCTTTCATTTTCCCAGGCGACCGTGAGATTGCACTTTGACCAGGGCGGGGAAGCCAGCACCTAGACGAGGTAGTTAGGGCTCTTTGAATGTGGGGGAAACCAGCCTAGAGTTTTTAAACCTTTTCCATGTTAAAATGGTGCCTGGGAAGCCACTGGGGAAGGCTGCTCTCCCCGTGTGTTCTCATCCCAGCTGCACCGCAGGGTCACCTGGGGAGCTTTGGGGAAGGACTGGGCCCAGGCCCGGTCCTGTCCAGTTACCTCCAAAAGGTCGTCAGTAGGGCCTGGGCAGAGAATGTACCTGCAAGTTCCCCGGCTGAGCTTGGGGCTAACTGCAGTCTAGTTCTAGACCTAGAACCCACAGACCTTTTCTGTGAAGGAACAGAAAATACGGTCCCCATTCGGGCTCTTGTGCAGCCGCAGCTGCAGCCTCTGATAACCCATAAATGAAGGGGTGAGGCTGCCGTCCAAAACAAACTGTTTACAAACTCAGGCCTGCCTTGGCCTCTGCCTACAGACTGCCAGCTCCTTCTCTTGAGAAATAAAGTAATATTATTTCATATGGCCAGTGTATTTTGTCATGTCTGCCCTGGGTTTTGTTTTTGTTTCCGAGATAAAAATTGACATACAACGTTACATTAATTTCAGGTGCACTGCATGGTGGCCGCCCCCGCAAGGAGTCTGGCTGACAGGGGTCCCCAGGCAGTTGCAGGTTTTGTTTCCTCGTGATGAGGACTTTTCAGAGCTGCCCTCTCAGCAGTTTCGAGTGTGTGGCCCCGGCTGGTGGTCACTGTGCTGTCTGTCACACCCCAGGCCTGACCGATGTGACCCTGGAGGCCTGGTCTTGATTGTGGTCCCTGTGAGGTGACACAGCTCCGAGAACAAGGCCCCATGGAGCCCTTTAGGTCTTCGGCAGCACTGCCCGAGAGCCGGGAGAGGGTGTGCAGGGCGGGTCTGTCCGGCCGGGTCCTCACGGTGGACTCAGGAGCTCGCACCCCCCCCACACACACCCCTGGAAGGTGTGACTCCGTGGCAGGCCCGGGCCTGCCAGGGCCCCAGATGGGGCCACGCTCTGCCTCTCCCCCGCCTTCCTCAGGGCCCCAGCCCACACCCCAGCCCCTCGGCTGGCACTCAGTCTGAGAATGAAGCCAGGGGTGTTATGTCTCCACTCAGAAATGTGCGCGCCTCTATCAGATGGGACCTGGCGAAACTTCCAACCGCAGTTGTCCCTGTGGGAGGGACTGGGAGGCCCGCGGCAGCCAGAGCTGCTGGTGGACCTGTGTTTCTAGTTGGGAAACATTCCTGTCGGTGGGCAGCCCTGGTTGTCTAAATGTGGCAGCTTTTTTTCCGGGTGGACATAGATTTCCCCTTCAGTAGCCACAAACTGAGCACAAAGGTCTCTTGGGATTGATCTGTAGGAAGGAATTTGTATGATCCCAATGTAAGTGGTTTTACTTATCTCTGTGTGAGCCTTTGGCATGGACGGTGAATGGACGGTGAATACCGGTTCTCTTTCTGCTGGTCAGGTACCCGAGCGAGAACCGTGGCACCTATAGTTCTTAACCTTCGCATTTGCCTCCTCTCACTTTCCTCCTCTGCTGCCCTACTTAAGAAACAAAATAGGAATAAATAAACAAGCAAAAAATGAAACTAGAACTCAGGGGGAGTTATTTCCAACCTGAAGCCATTATTTCTAATCCGAGGACTGGGGTACCGACGCTGCACAGCGGGAGGGAGGTGGAACACAAACCAAGATATGAACGCACATCACGCCCATTCTTCGTTTTTCCCTTTTTTAGATAACGGCCCTTGCTTAGGCTCCCGCAAACCAGACCAGCCCTACGAATGGCTTTCATACAAGCAGGTGAGTTTTCCGGCGGTGTAGACACCTCGCTTCAGTGTTTTGGTTTGTCAGCTCTCACAGCCAACTGCACGCTGGCACCGGAGGGTCCATGCGGACGGCTGCGCCTGGGGCGCTTAGAGCCTGAGGATGGACGCAGTGGGACACAAAGCCTCGGGGGAAGCTGAAGAAGGGACTTAGCTGGTGGTTCGAAGCACTGTGTTGTGGAACGAACGTGGGTGCACTGTGGAGTAGAGTACAGTTTCGAGGACGAAATTCTAGAAATGTGCCTGACACAAGTGACTCTCTTCCCGGCCCCAAGGAGGGCGAGGCTGCTCCTCTCTGGAGGGAGAGATTTAGAAAAACTGAGAAGCCCAGTGGAGGGTGACCCTCTCGTTTTATAGATGAGAACAGGTCCCAGGAAGGCATGGGGCGTGCCGTGCCCACAGTCACAGCTAGTCAGTGCGCCCCAGGGCCAGCGGCGTGGCTTTGCCGTCTGGCGCAGGGCTCTTCAGTGGGTCAGCCAGCTTGGGACCCTGTGATGTTTAACCCCAGGCAGCCGTGGACAGCAGCACGGGCGCTCGGAGATGACGCCTGGGAAGCCGGGATCCAGTGTCTTACTCCCGTCACTCTGCAGCCCCAACTCGTCCACAGCCATGGCTGCTGGAACAGTGGGTTGTCAGTGGCAGGTAGCAGAGCAGGAAGGCATTGCCGTTCGCTTTTATCCTGCCCCCAACCCCCGGTACAACAACTCCACCTGCCCGTGCCGCTTCTCAGTCCAGGGGGAGCCTGTGGAGCAGCGGGCAGCTGGGGGAGCAGCCCCGCCACCTGTGTCTCCGCACAGCTGTCCAGGAAACGGCCCGGCTCTGGGCGTGTCGCCCTGGGACATTGGGGGGCTCAGGGAACCTCCTCCTTCCGTGCTTTGTGTGAACCGGGGTCAGGAGCCGGTGTGGTCCGGGGTGTATATGTGATGGAGTTGGCACGAGGAGCCCAGAGGCAGCTCCGGAGCCCAGCCCTGTGCCCTCCCTGGGTCAGCACGCACTCTGTCTTCTTCCCTTCCCTCGGCCGAGGGTCAGCCGGGCGCAGAAGGCTTCGCTTGGGTCTCTCTTGAGAGAAGGCGCAGAGGCAAGACCTGTGTCATGCCTTGCTCGTGGGAGTGACAAGCTGTAGTTCAGGTGACGGGATGGGTTTCACTGTTTTTACTTTGCCTTACCAAATCCTAGTTATGGTGTTCGAATAGTGGCGTCCGAGTCCCGTCATTTCCGCGTGTGGCGTAGAAACGGGGTCAGCGTGTATGTGTCGCACGTGGCCCGGGGTCCCAGGGCTCCCGGCAGGCTCAGGTGCTTCCGGTGCGGCCCCCACGGTGGCACCTCCCCACATCCCTCCCGCTCTCTGTCAGCCGGAGGCCTGACAGTCTCGGGGGCTCTGCAGGTGTCCATCTGCGTATGTTCAATTCCGGCCGGTGGACGTGAGAACTGGCTCAGCCTGGAGCCATTTTTGGATTTTTGTGTTTACATCATTTTCTTCACATTTACCCCAGGGATTCTGCCCTGTTGGGGGCTAGCACCCCCTTTTGAACAAAGGTGTGGAGCCTCTTTCCAGGGATACAGATGCACGTGTGCTCTCCTGCCAAGCTCTGTGAGCCCTGAGAAATGCCACAGGTGCCCGCCCCTCAGGTGCCCACCGCACAGGTGCCCGCCCCTCAGGTGCCCGCCCCTCGGGTGCTCCAGCAACAGTGGTGAAACAGCCGCAGGGTGAGGTGGTGGTGAGCCTGCCAGTGCTGCTCCCTGTCACTGTCCAGGGTCAGCGCTCACTCACTGGGCAGAACCACGATGGCCCCATGTGCCAGAACCAACCGGGTTCCGGCACGAGGAGGCGTGGCTTCATCTCCCGAGGGCGTGGGCGTGAATTCAAAGTGCTCTTGGAAACGTACCAATGGAGAATGAAGAAAAGAATTCCAAATGTTAAGATTTAAAAAGCTTTTTTTGGTTAATTTGGGGTAGCAATGGGGAGAAGATGGGGTCGAGTATTAGTCCTGTCTAATTTTATTATGCATTTCTGTATTCTTACAAATATTCAAAGTTTGGCATGGTTTTCATAATTGTAATGTTTTCTGGCTATGTGGCATTTTCCCTGATGTCTGCCACCATGCACTGAGCCACCCAGCCTTTGGTCTCTTGTCCCCTAGAGGTTTGTGACTTTAGGTAATTTTGGTATATATACCTTTGTACATAAAAAATTTTTAAACCTGCTTTTAAGGTTGAACTATGTCCTGAAAATAAGTCCTCAAGAATGGAAGTAGAGAGCCCGTTGATAACACTTGTTTTTTGTTTTTTAAGATCGCCACAAAACTTGCTGTTTCTGTGTTTATACCAAATGACAATTTTGCCTGCTTCGCTGATCTTTAAAAATACAAAGAAAGAGTCTTTTCTGAGTCCCGGTATTTGTTTCATACCTGTATGAGATTTTGTGAAACCAAAGTATGGAGCAGAACAGGGTGAGAAACCCTGGCACACAGTCTCCCCTGGGCTGTGCCGTGCCTTGCAGCAGGGCCCATGGTCCCTCCTCTTAGGACATCCTTTTAGGGTTCCGGTGAATAAGGCCTCGGGTTGCTCAGAAAAGCGTCACTGAAGGAGGCCGGTTCGCCCCCGCGCCCCCTCTCTGAGCCGCGCTGCTCTCCAGCTGCCACGCCCTGAGCTTTGGCCTTGAGTTGGGCCTGATGCTGCCCGGGTTCCCCCCTCTCTAGGTGGAAGACCTGTTGGAGTGCGTGGGCTCGGCGCTGCTGCAGAAGGGCTTCAGGGCCGCCCCCGACCAGTTCATCGGCATCTTCGCTCAGAACAGACCTGAGGTAACGCCCTCCTCTGACCCTGTGCGGCTTCGAGGGTTCTCAGAGGAGCCCTTCAGGGTTTATGCCTTCCTCCGCCTGACGCCAGATCTGTGGTTTGATTTCTGCCCAGAATACGGCTTTGGGCCACACCTTAGAAAGTCGCACATGTGAAAACCCAGACTGGGGCCTGCTTAGCCTCTGGGTGGAAGAAGAGTCACTTTTTAAAGAGTATTGATTTGGTTTTGTGAAACCAGATTCCCCCAAAAAATCTTTGCAACAGTTAACTAACAAAGAAGTCCTCTGTAATTAGAAAAATAGTGTTAATGAATTACAAAGAAACTGGGATACAGTTTTTTTCAGCCACACTCATATTTTGTTTCTGAAAGGCTTAATTTTCCCCTCTGATCAGGTTGCAAAGTTTTAAATACCATGGACAGCCAAGAAAGTGCCAACATGGACAACCACTTTGGCCCGGCCTTCATTTAGTCTCGTAGCCTGTTGTGCAGCTCGCTGGGCCTGGGCATGGTGCTTCTATACACCCTGGTATCAAGTACATTTAAATAACTCTTGCCGAGGCATTGCTCCTAGTGTCGGCGCACAAATTAACAGCATAACTGGCCTGGAAAAGCCCAAGCACCTGCTTTGAAATAATGGAATTGATCCTTAGACCTACTTGTGTCCAGAAGGTGTGTTGGCTCAATCCATGTCCTCCTCACTATTGGATAAATCAGGATGGTTTCGTAGTATTTTTGTGTCCTGCTAAGGGAAAAACATTATTTTCCACAGCTGGGTCATTTCTAGGCTCATGGAACTTAATTTCTTTCATTTTAAGAGCAACCTATCCAAATGAACACACCTAACATTTTTGTTTTAGGGAAACTCTGTAATGACTCTATAATTAGGACACACATCCCTTTAAGAGGTGGTTTTTGTCCTACGTTTACGAGTCAGTTCAGCACCGGTTTATCGAGTACCTACTATATGCCAGGCACTGGCAAGGCACCAAAGTACAGCAGTGACTTGGATCTTCTCCGTGAGGTACAGCATAAAAAGAGACAGTCCCCAAAGCTAATGCTTTCTCTGTCACATGCTGAGTGTGGACAGAGGACAGGAAGAGTATGAAAGCTCAGTCAAGGAGGACTTCCTGGAGGTGGCAGCTGGGTGGAGTGTTGATGGAAACCAAAGGAATGTTCTCATCAAGCAGCATGTTTGTGCTGGGAGGGAAGCATTTTAACATGGGAGAACTTGGAGTCGCAGGAGAAGGGGCAGGGGAGAGAGGGCCATATGTGCCACTGTGCTTGCTGAGGAGCTTGGCCTTACCTCCCTGTTGGTAGCTTGAGATTGGGCCCAAGGGGGAAAAAAGGAAAGAAAACAGCTGCAGGCCAGGTGAGTGTGCACTCCCTTCCTGTAGCCTCTCTGTCCCCACCCATGCTGGACAGGGTGGAGGCCCTGAGGTTCTTGCCACATTTGCCTTGTAGGTGGGTGAGTTTCCATGTGGCTGCTGAGTTTGGAGGCCAGGTGACCAGTTACTATGTTGCTTTCCATCATTTCTTATCTGGGGAAATTTCCTGGCAAGTTTCCTGTTAGACAGTGTGCCCGCTTCCCCCTCCGCAGGCCCTTGTGCACACTGCGGCCAGATGGATCTTCCTCAGACTCACGGTCACCTTTTTGCTGGGAAACCCCCCGTGGCTGTGCACTGCCCGGGGACCAGGGTCAGCCTCCTCCAGAGGCAAGGGCTTGCCCCCGCCCACTGCTGGCCTCCATTTCTCCACTCCCTGTGGAGACCTCCAGGCTGGCCAGTTGCTCACTGACCTCCCTGCTTGTAATTCTGCAGTCCCTGCTCTTGGGGTCTCCTTGCCTTTCTCTCATCCGCCCGAACTGTGCTGCTCTCACAAGAGGCAGCTCAGTTACCTCCCCACAAAGATGGCCCATTCCTTTTAAGGAGGGGACTCTTATTCTGTCCTCATTATGAATCCCTCACCATGCCTGGCATATAGTAGTTAATGTTCAAACAGGGAGGTAGCGACACCCGATGTTTCCGCCTCATATCTGGAGTGCTGGTCCTCGTGGACGGGTTCCATGATGACATCTCACTTTCTCTTCCCAACCCTCACTGTCCGTCTAGTGGGTCATCATCGAACAGGGATGCTTTGCTTACTCGATGGTGATCGTGCCCCTCTATGACAGCCTCGGCTCCGAAGCCATCACTTACATAGTCAACAAAGGTAAGCGTGTGGCCCTTGCGGGGACATCGGCTTTGCTCTCATGCAGCGAACTTTAACTTTAAAGTTACTTAAAATAACTTTAAAGTTACTTAACTTTAAAGGTACTTAAAATAACCTTAAAGTTAAAAAATTATACAGTCAAGCTTTTAATACTCCAGAGCGTATTGCTCATTGCGGCTCTCTCTTTCAGCGGAACTGTCTGTGATTTTTGTTGACAAGCCAGAGAAGGCCAACATGTTGCTAGAAGGTGTAGAAAACAAGTTGACACCAGGCCTTAAAATCATAGTTGTCATGGACTCCTACGGCAGCAGTCTGCTGGAACGAGGCAAGAAGTGCGGGGTGGAGGTCATCAGCATGAAGGCCATGGAGGTGAGTCCTGCGGCCCCACTCAGTGCGTTCCCCGCTGCAGCCGCACGGCCTGCGCGCTGGCTGCCTCTCTGCCCGGTTAGCGCCGCACACCTTGCCGAAAGTCCTTTTCTAAAGAGAGTTGGAGTGCTCACCTCCTTGTCCTGGAGCCCTGACAAGCCAGGGATGTGACCTTCAAATTCTGGTGGAGATTTAAGTTTGCATTTCTTCACTCAGTGATTTGTCTCTAAGATGGAGCCAGGTACGGACATCTGCCTCCTTGTTTTCAGCCCCTAAATTGCTTTCATAGAGGCCCGGCGGGTTTCTAGCAGAGATGTTTGGTTCCGTTCATTATCATGTTAAATTTCTCCAGATTCACGTCCAGCACAACTTTAAAGGTAACCATTCTAGGAAAACGAGCGTGGCTCCTATTTGAGTTGGTCATTTGACGTCAGCTCCTGTAAGACGCTGATTTGCCTGTCGGCCTTGGGTCAGAGCTCAGTCCCCAGGAGCTGCGGGAGGAGGGTCTCGGCGCACGCGTTGGGGGGGGTGGGCAGGCTCCGGAGCGTCAGTGGTTCTCTTTCTGAAGACATTGTGCGTTTCCCTGGGACAGTTATAAATAGGGGTTCAAAACTCATTTCTAGTTTTCTGTAAAGAATTCAAGGCTGTAAAGAAGGATTTATAAAGCCTTTTCTGGGGAACTTAGAAGTTGTAGCAGAGCCTTCTGCCTCACATACACACACACACATGCACATGCTCTCACACGTGCTCTCTCACACATCCGCATGGTTTCACACATAGACACACTCTCACACGCAGGCACACACCCGTAGACGTGGAGCACAGAACATGAGTCCCTAAGAGCTGGTAGGTGTGCTGTGTCGTTAAACTGGGTTTTCAGTTTCTGTTTTTTGACTTTAATCCCCTTTTACAGTAATGCGATTGCTTCCTTTCCCATCTTCACTCCTTCTCCCTAACCACCCCCAACACAAACACACAGGACTTTTTTGGTCTTTTTGAACAATGATATGATAAAGGAGTAATTTTAAGATTAAAAAATTTAGATGAGTGAATGAAGATTATAACATAAACTTTATATGAAAATCTTTATTTACAAAGGACATTGCTTTATATTTATTTACCCATGTAATATGATTCATATTTTGTTTTTAAAAGTTTTGTAAGCAAAAGATTAAGGCTTTAAGAAATGAATTTTTTGGCCTTGTTAAAGCTTGTGTTTATTGTAAAAATTGTTGTGTATTTCTAGTCGATACCTCACATTTCTGTTGGTTTTCATGTTAACTCGACTTCTCTTTTTTGAATTTAAGTATAGTTGGTATACAGTATCATACTTTATTAGATTCTGGTACCCAATGTAGTGATTGAATGTTTTTAAAACGTTGTCATCTGTCACCACACAAACTTATTTAAAATTGGCTTTATGGTTGATCTCGTGATCAGCTTTATATTTCTATATATTTATATGGGATCAAAAATGTAAACATTGGTATTTGGAATTTTTGCATTTTTCCCAGTACTTTGTTATAAAAAATGTAAAAGATGAAAACAAGTTGAAAGACTGGTACAGTAGACCGCACGTCCCCACCAAGCATCTCTGACAACTACCTGAACACATTTGCCTGATCACACACCAGTCCCCACTCCATCCCTCTCTTCACGCATCAGTCCATCTTTCATCTGATACATTTTCAGGAAGTTGCAGATTTTATCATCCTCGAATACTGCAGCATGCTGATCTTGAACTAGAACTCAGTTGCTCCTGTTTACAGTTCTTCTTTTCCTGGCATTTGAAGCCTAACAATGGCAACTTGGTACGATCCCCCTAGTTTTGCTACCAGATGACATGAGGCAGGTTTCAGGCAGTGCAACTGCCTCGGCAAATAGTGCACTAATTGGGTGGATGTTATTCCCAATCAATTGAAAGGTAAATTGCATATCACTATTGCTTTATTTTATTTATTGTCAATGTTTGAAGCATCGAAAATCTCAAAAAGTTATGTAAGAATTTTGAAGAGATGAGTGGGAATTTAGATTTGATAAGGATTATTTTGAAAACAAAATTGGTGGAACTCTCCTTGCTTTAGCTCTTATTTGGCTTTAATTTGGATGTTATATTTCTGTTTTTTAATCAGTGATCTGTTGTATATATAGCTTAAAATGCAATGAAGATTAAAGACTGTGTAAAACTCTCTGCTGGACAGAGACTCACGAGCCTTGAGCACATCCATCTAATTTTTATTTAATTCTGGGCATGCGCACTCCATGTGCTCATTCGAGCTGTTCAGTTTTAATAGGAAAAGAATATAAATAGCTCACTTTAAGAATTAATAGATTCTGTTGCCACAGAAACTGCCACAGACTGGTAGTACAGTGTTGGGAAATGCCGTGCCCGCAGAATGAGTCTGCCACTCTTCCCCTTCACGTCCATCCGAGAGTGGCCACAGATCTTCCTTCCGGCCTGTTTTGTACTGGAGGTCCCCAGTCCTTTCTCTGCTCCACGCGAGGAGAGCAGACATCTGAGCCTCTGACACTGCTGGCGTGAAGTCTTCCATGGGCTGCTTTTTTTCCCCGGATCGAAGAGTCAGCTACACAGAGCTGGGCGATCCCGAATCTTGCTCTGCTCCGATATGGAGACCATTGTGGTTCTTTCAGGACCGTTAAGAGCTAGTCTTTGTGAAAGGCCAGAATAGGAAGTGGGGGCAGGGACAGCAAAATCCATCCTAAGAGACTTTGGTTCCTGTCTTTTGAATAAATCCTTTTTTCAAAGGCCAGTCCTGATACCATTTCTATAGTCTTGTGTAAGAGAAAAGATAACTGGAAAAAATGCTGCTTAGAGCAATGAGTAAGTTTTTTGGTCCCGGTTCATTGAAGTTGCCAGAGTTCACTTGATTGAAAATACATTCTGTCTTTGAGCCAGCCGTCAGCAAATCTCACAGTAAAATCAGCTTGAAGTGTCTCCATGTGACCTTATTCTTTCCATTTAGAAAATGTTCCCACTTAAGATTTTTTTTCTCTTCTAATTAAGGACCTGGGACGAGCAAACAGGAGGAAGCCCAAGGTAAGATGCTGCGTCAGACCCTGCCCAGCCTCCGCGTCTGGTTGTCTCGGAGTAGATGTCTTGGGCTTTCTATTCTGATTTCTCCCACCTTTTCCTTGTTCTTTTTTTTTTAACACGCTGTAGCCTCCAGCACCTGACGATCTTGCAGTGGTCTGTTTCACCAGTGGAACCACAGGTAAGTTTTGCTACGGAGTTGCTTCTAAGTGGGACCCCGAGGTGTCTCCTCCCCGTCCCCATTTTGGGGTGACTTACCTGAACCGTGGATGGACTTCAGGTGGAAGAGACGGAGGTGTTTCAGGCTTTGTGAGACATGCTGAGAGTCTGAGCATGTCGCATGTTTCCGCAAACGTTTACTGCAGGCGACGCTTCATCCATTTTCCCGAGGCAAACTGTATCAGTGATTTACAGAAATACAAAAAGGCTCCTGGTTTTCTTCTCTTATTGCCACGCACCCTCTGAAACGTGCCCATTTTAGTAGAGAGTGTTGCAGATACGAAGTTTCACTGAGAGGATAGCAGATCGCTCGGGAATTTAGTGGTACCCAACATTTGGCTTTCGGGGTGTACGGACCACGGGAGGCATTCGAGGCCCTGCTCACGTGTAGGGTTCTGGGCCTCCTTTCCACCTGTCCCCCGTGGACACAGCTGCTGTCCTCTGACTTCGCTCTGCTCGCTGTGTCCCTCAGGCAACCCCAAAGGAGCTATGCTCACCCACCGGAACATAGTGAGTGACTTTTCGGCTTTTGTGAAAGTGACAGAGGTAAGCTGTGGGGACGGTGCTGTCCTCCTTCGTGGGCACTGGGCAGTCGGCGTTGGGCCTCGAGAACGAGAGCGGTGAAGGCAGCGCCCCCACACTGAGTCCACGCTGCAGGTGGACTCTGAGCCGTGGAGAAGGCCCGACCCTTCGTGCCACGCTCTCCCCTCGTTTCTGCTGTGGGCTCTGACCATTCCGAGCATGGTCAGCGCCAGCTCTGACCATTCCGAGCATCGGCAGCTAGAATGTAGCGCAACTTTGGTCAGGAGAGGACAGAGAAGAACTGACTCTCTTGTGCCTTTCCCTACTATCCCTGTGTGGAAAAAGCAATTTCTTTACATTGACAAGGAAATGTTAAATGCTGCTGAAGGCTTTTGAATTATTATTATTTATTATGGTCGGTTCGACTTCCCTTTTATGAGAAGGACTAAAAGCCTCGGACTTCAGTTGTTCCCCAAGTACCTGAGTCAGCCTGGGCTGCCGTGGCAAAAGAGCACAGACTGGGTGGCTTAAACGACAGACATGGGTTTTCTCAGAGTTCTGGAGGCTAGAAGTCCATGGCCAAGGTGCCCACAAACTTAGTTTCTGGTGAGGGCTTTCTCCCTGGCTTGTAGATGGCCACCTTTTCACTGTGCCTCACCTGGCCTTTCCTCCCATGCACAAGGAGAATGAGAGAAGTTTCCAGCATCTCCTCTTCTTACAAGGACACCAGTCATTCTGGCTCAGGGCCCCACCCTTATGACCTCACTTAACCTCAGTTACCTCCCGGAAGGCCCCGTCTCCAAATGTAGCCATGCTGCCTTAGAGCTTCTCCGCGTGGATTTGGAAGGGTGGGGGTGACATGACGCGGTCCCTGGTGCCGAGGGTATGTTTCAAACTTGCCTTTTAGGGAGTTCCCTCTGAACAGTATAATGCCTTCTCTCAGAGCCTTCGCACATGCTGCATAATTTGCTACCTCCATCTCTGGGCAGGGCCTATCTGTGGAGGGAACCTGTGCTTCCTGGGCTTGGAGAGCAGGCCTGTCAGGGGGGTGCTGCAGAAGGGCCGTCTCACTCCCGCTCCCACTCCTGCTCCCACTCCTGCTCCCACTCTTTGAGTCCCGACTGCCTCTCTGGGAGTATACTTCCCAAACAGAAGTCAGCAGTTAGTACCTCACCGAAGGAGAATTTTAATTTTCTAACTGGCTTTCAAAGAAAACTAAGAATACATCAGTAGCTCATTGAGGCAAACGATTCTAGAACTTTGTTTAAAATATCGTATTACCGGAGACATTTGCAACTTTGTGAAATTTCTAAGCATGTTAATGCATATTATTTGTTAGGCTAAATCAGAACATTGAAAACCGTAGATATTATCAAGTCTGATTTCCCATTCTATAACATTTGCCACAGTGACGTACCAGTTGGAATGCAGGTCATACTTGCATAAAGTTAACCCCAAATTATAGCCTGTTCAGGCTATATCGGATGCTTCTAAGACTCCTGCATTTGTTCAGGCCGGGGGCTCTCGCCAATGACCACATTATTATGAAGAACTGCCCGGCTCTGGGGCGGGGTGGCAGGGTTCAGAAGTGGATGCACCCCCAGGCAACTGACAGTGCCTTCATCTCCTGGTTGGTGTGAAGCAGCTGCTGTTGGCAGCCCCCTGTTTTGGCCAGAACTCTTTATGTTAGTAACAGGAACACTCCAGGCAAACCCTCACTGTGCTTGGCCATAAGTAAAGTCCATCCAGAGCCATGAAATGGAAGCCAGATGTCCAGACTTCATCCAGACAGGGACCTATTGCAGCCAGTGTTTTCTAGGAAAGCAACCCCCCTGGTGCCAGATCAGGGCTTGTGTTAGACAAGTGGGACTATTTTCCATGGCAAAGGAGGCCTTTCTGGTAAAGCTGTTGATCAGACTGAAATCCCCCAGATGCACTTACACTGTAGATGAAAGGAGCTCGGAAATCCAGTGTTTCTCATCTCCTCTCCCTCTTTCCCTTGCAACCTAAAATGCTGTTTTATGGTGGACTGGGTCTTGGGTTTCTGACCTCTCGGTGGAACTGAGCTGGCTGGGTGGTGGGGGACTGCCATTCTGAAATAATAAACAATCAGAGCACACAAAACTTTAGCACCCCAATCTGGACAGAGTTTTCCCTATTTCTGACGAACGTGCCAGGCGCACCTACTTTGTCATTGGAAATGACCTCCACTCTATCCGAGTGACTAAAGTATTGCTCTGCATCTCATCCCTGGTGGCAAACGAGGGCCGATCATGAGCCCGGGCCGTTTCCCCTCGGTGTTCAGGTGTTGTGTGCTCTACAACAAAGCAGAAAACTGCCGGGATCTTAACGCCTCTCCACCTTGCTGGTGTCTTCGCTTGCAGAACATTGTCAACCCCTCCCCAGACGATGTGCTGATCTCTTTCTTGCCTCTTGCCCATATGTTTGAAACAGTTGTCGAGGTAAGGCAGTGCGCTGCGTATTTCTCTCCTGCTCATTTGTCTGTGTCTAAGTTGTTGTGTTTTACAGAAAGCAATTGTCCTGAATGGCAGTGACACACACATTTCCTACCTACCACTTGCACACATGTTTGAACAGCTCATGCTGGTAAGTCCGACGTGCACACTGGCACGCGGGCCTCGGTGCCCGCCGAGGCCCGGGTTAGAAATGGGGCTAATTATTTGCCAGAGTGCCACTTTTCTTCTGGGTCTGGATACTTGAACTTCAGTCATTCCTTTTAAAATCAGAAGCTTGGGCTTTTGAATGATATGCCTATGGACATGACTCCAGAAAGATTAACTGTAAAAGTAGAAATTTTAGGAATACCATCTGATAGAACCTAGTGAGGCCTCTGCTCTGTGAGAAGTCTCTCCTTTTGTATTGTGTTTGTTCATAAATGCCCGTGTGGGCTGAAAACGAATTCTCTCACCAAAATTCGAAGTGACCTTGGAAAGGCAATGGTCTGGAGCTGACCTTTGCCCGGGCTCCCAGCGCCCAGCTGCGTGCCTTGTTTGGAAACCAACCGAGAACCACTTTTTTCCCTCCTGGACAATTCTGGGCTGTAGACTCATAGGGAAAACGAGCACCATCCACTCATTTAGACACGTTTACTGAGCAGCACCCACATGCCACGCCCTGCGCTAGGTATTGGCCACAGAAAGGTGATTAATGGAGGGTCTACCCTCTGATTGGCTGCCTGCTGCCCTGTAGGACTTATTTACCCCTTAAGGACCAGGGATCATTAGATCCCATCTTCTCTCTGTTCCTTGTGCCTCCTGCACACCTCAGGAGAGCTCGTGAGCTTATCAGGTGATGTCAGATGAGAGGATAATGGATCCTATGTTCCTGGCGGTAGTTTTGGAAGCAAGCCTGGGAGGCTGGCCACAGTGAGGAAAGCCTCCTGAGCATTAATTTTTTAACAATGAACCATGGTGTGCCTTTCTGGCGGCTTCTGCTTCCCGGCCTGAGACCAGGTGCACTTTCGTTGCATCATCTTCTGAATCCTTTTTGTTTTTAATCCTCATCCAAGGATACGTTTCTTGACTTTTAGAGGGAGAGGGAGGGAAAGAGAGAGAAAGAAACATTTCTGTGAGAGAGAAGCATCAAGCGGTTGCCTCCCGTTTGTGCCCAACTGGGGATCAAACCTGCGGCCACCGAGCGTACGGGGCTGACTCACCAACCAGTCGCGTCACGCGGCCCGGGCTGAGTCTTTCTTTCTGAATCTTAGAAGAGGCAGACTGTTTGCCAGGTGCATGGGGCTTGCCAGTACAGTCGGCCTCCAGTGGAGAAAAGTCATGCAACAGATTACAGCTGAGTGACAGGCCATGCTGGTGTGGGGTACCACTGGTGTCTCAGCCCCAACGTAGTTCGTGGTTTTTTTAGACATTTTTAGTTAGATTCAAGTAAAAGAAAATGAGACATTGATAAGCTAGGACTGTGTGTAAGTAGCTAAGTTTTTGTTTGGAGAATAAATTATACCTAAAGTTTCTGGAAGACTAAAAATATTTGGATTATATAATAACATGTCATTCAGTCGACAGATTATTTATTTATCATGAAGCTAAACTAGCAGAACCTCTGTGATCCTCACCAGAACCAACATACCCTGGTTTATGGCCAGGGTACAGTGACCGAAGAATGCGAGAACAATTTTTTTTAAGCTGCCTACACGTAGGAACTTTGAGATCTCTGGAAGCAGCTCTGAAATGCTGACACAGAAGCCTTATTTGTCTTTGTGTGGTGCGGCCGCTGCTGCAGGGCTGAAACGCGGGTCGTGTGTGTTTACCTCCCTAGTGTGTGATGCTGTGTCACGGAGCTAAGATAGGATTTTTCCAAGGAGATATCAGGCTGCTCATGGATGACCTCAAGGCGCTTCAACCCACGATCTTCCCCGTGGTCCCAAGGCTGCTGAACCGGATGTTTGACCGAGTAAGTCCTGAGCACCACGCAGAGGGCAGAGGGCTGGGCCTTCCGCGTGACCTGGACAGTCCCCTTATCCCGCAGAGCTGTAGTTCATGGTGCTGTGACACGGAGTACAGGCACTTAACCCAGAGGGACAATGCAGGTGTCAGATGGAGGTGGTGTCCTTTCATTTTTCTTAAAAGATTTTATGTATTCATTTTTGGAGAGAGCGGAAGGGAGGGAGACAGAGAGGGAGAGAAACATTGATGGGTGAGAGAAACACTGATTGGTTGCCTCTCTCACACCTGAACTGGGGACCTGGCCCCCAATTGAGGCATGTACCCTGACTGAGAATTGAACCGGCAACCTTTTGGTTCACAGGCTGGTGCTGAATCCACTGAGCCACACCAGCCAGGAACATCTTCTTTTTATAGTTAACTCTTTGAGCCTCTGTTTTCTCATCTGTACAAGGGACTGCTGCCCCCACCCCCTGCTGAGTGTCTCATGAGGCTGCTCCTTGCATCACTATGAAATGGTTTTATAAATTGGGAAGCTCCATGCACCTGCGAAATGTCACTCACTTAGCCACCTTGCGAGAAGTGCCTCCCTCAAAGCAGGAACTGAGCAGGCCCCCGTTCTGAGAGGCCATCCCCACGTGGACCGTGGGGCCAGGGCTGCGTGGGGTGTGTGTCCCCCAGTGAGCCTGGATGGGGCACTCAGTTCTCTTTAATTGCAGGCATGCCTTCTGTCATCTGTGAGAACCTACTCATTTTTTAATGGTTCTTTTAGAAAAAACTTACGCGAACTGCTCTATTGAAATATAGTTCACATCCCATACAATGTACCCACTAAAGTGTACGGTGTAAAGGTTTTCAGTACATCCTCAGAATTCTACAGCCGTCGTACAGTCCATCCTAGAACGTGTTTGTCCCCTCAGAAGGAGCCCTTTGACCTTCCCTTTAGCTGTCATCCCCACCCTGCTCCCCGCCTTCACCACAAAGCAAAAATCATCTACTTTTTGAATCTAGAGATCTGCCTATCCTGAACTTGGCCATGAATGGAGTTTTGCAACATGTGTTCTTTTGTGACTAGCTTCTCTCACTTAACATGTTTTCAAGGTTCTTCCATGTTGTAGGGTATAGCTCTACTTCATTCCTTTTTTTTTAAGACTTTATTTATTTATTTATTTTTAGAGAGAGGGGAAGGGATAGAGAAGGAAAGGGTGAGAAACATCAGTGTGTGCTTGTCTCTTGCACACCTCTCACTGGGCACCTGGCCAGCAACCCAGGCATGTGCCCTGACTGGGAATTGAACCAGCGACACTGGCTCACAGGCCCGTGCTCAACCCACGGAGCTACACCATCCGGGTGCGCTTCATTCCTTTTAACAGCCAGACAGTATTGCATGGTACAGGTGTAACACCTTTCGTTTATCTCTTCGTCCATCAGTGGGCACTTGAGTTGTTCCCACTGTTTGGCTACTATGAATACGCCACCGAGTTTTCTGTGTGGACACATGTTTTCATCTCTCCCGGGTAGACACCCAGGAGCGGGATTGCTGTACATTGTAACCCTGTGTGTTTTCTAAAGCCGGGCCACGTAGTGTTTCTACCAACAGAGCGGGGGCGGGGGGTCCAGCCTCCCCGCATCTTTTCCAGCACTCGTTACTATCTCCCTTCCTGACGCTAGCCATCTCAGTCACCGTGAAACCTCTTCGTGTCTCCACTCGGTAGATTTTCGGACAGGCAAACACCACCCTGAAGCGATGGCTGTTGGACTTCGCCTCCAAGAGGAAAGAAGCGGAGCTGCGCAGCGGCATCATCAGAAACAACAGCCTGTGGGACAAGCTCATCTTCCGCAAAATACAGGTGGCGGCCCACTCGCGCTGGTGGCTGTCACGCGAGCTACGAGCTAACTGGGGTCTCAGGTTTTCCATGCGGTCTCTTTTTAACAGAGATGTGTGCAGACGAGAGAGAGAGAGAGAGAAGGACACATTTGTATCGATTCGGGCACATTTCTAAAAATTCAGGACAAAGCCATCACATAAACCTCAGGATCCAAAATACACCAGAACAATATCGTAGCTCTTGAGGGCAGAAAGAAATCAGGATACTGTAACCTTTCTTAGTCTCCATTAGGTTTTATTTTTCTGGAGCATGAGGTATCACTCTTGAGGTAACTTTTTAGGCATGAGTGGTAAAGAATAATATACTAGTCTAAAAAAAAATGCCGAAAGTGTGGTAGTTGCCACAAATCCACCACAGTCTTGTTCTAATCCCTTAAGATACCAGCAAGTGGGGGTGCTGGTCGATTTGATTTCTGCACCAGTTAAGAGCAAAAGGTAGGGTCTCCGGTGGGAAGGAAACAAAGTCTGTTTCCGTCCCGCCTGAGTCCCTCGTGTGGATGCCTGTGAGTTCTCGGGCATCGTGAGTCCTGTGCGGCGTGCAGAGAAGGGGCTGGGGTTTGGGGAGTGGGGTGCCAAAAAAGCATCTTTGAGGAGCCCACTGACTTCCAGCCATTTAACCCTCCTTCTTCTCTCCTTCCTTCCCCTCCTGTCCTCTAAGTCGAGCCTGGGAGGGAAGGTCAGGCTGATGGTCACAGGAGCTGCGCCTGTCTCTGCCACCGTACTGACCTTTCTGCGGGCTGCACTTGGCTGCCAGGTGAGCCAGCTCCCCTGCACTTGGCCGTCCCAGATGTCGTCATGTCCAGAGCCTGCTTTCCAAGAGCCACTCTAATGCTCCCCGTGTGTCTCTTGTCTTTATTCAGGAGATCGTGTTATTTCTAGGTTGCTTAGAGAAAGCAGCTTGTGTATTTCGACCCCTGGCAGGGGAAACATGTGTCCGTGCCCACGGCTGCATCGTGTCCTTGAAGGGAGGGTGCAAATCCTGCCTTTAGAGTCAGGCAGGAGGGGCTGGGTTGGTCATAAGCGATGGCCAAGCCGCACAACACGCAGAGAACCTGTCTAGTTAGCAGAGCCCACTTGGCACTCAGGGCCTGTGGGGGCGGAGCCTTCCCCCGGGCAGCTCTGGTGCAGCGGGCCCTCCCCGGTGTCAGCGTTCTCCCTCGCGCATGCGCAGGGTGCGAGGTAGGGAACAGACGTGGATGAGCTGGGGTTGGTGCGAGGGCGAGGATGTTTGGGTGCTGCGTTGAAGCACAGTGTGGTATCGGACGGATTTACCAAACGAAGTTTGGGAAGAGGTTCCTCCACAACGGGCCCCACTCTGAAGGTGGAGGAACTTAGCTGTGCAAAGTTCAACTTAGCTGTGCAACCTCCAGCAAAGGCGTCCCCTTTCTAATGCCCTTTCGTCTCTTGGTGCCCCAGTTCTACGAAGGCTACGGGCAGACCGAGTGCTCGGCGGGCTGCTCCCTGTCCATGCCCGGAGACTGGACAGCAGGTACAGTTGCTCGGTGGGACAGTCCTTATGGACATCTGTCATTCAGACTGGAGTCAAGTCAGTCATGCGCTGGTTCACTAACCAACTTCAACAAGGGTTGTGTCTCAGATGATTAGGCCTGGGGTACCCAGTCCTGTAAATCGGGGAGGCATGTGGAAAACGTGGCAGGTTGGGGCATGGTTTTGAGGCTGTGACTGTAAAGCTGGGTGGCAGTCGAGCCCGCCGCAGACCCTGAGGGTTTTGGCTGTAAGAGATGCCGCCTTTACACCCACTTCAGGACGTTTGGCCCAACCGAGCTATGGGGTCCACCGATTTGCTGGTAAATTTTAATTAAATTTCTACTGTGTGCTATGCTAGATGTTGAGACTACAGACAAAAATAAATGCAGATCCTTTTTCCTAAAAAGACAAAGTGGAGACAAATATCAAAATAATTGGATGAGTACCCGTCATGGACGAGGTTCCTTGTTAGGGACTTAAGGTGTATATGACGTGTACTTCATCCCAATGACATCCCCCTGAGATGAGTCCTGTCATCTCCCAAGGACATGATTGGCTGTGGGCTAAAAGGCATGGCAATGATGTGTGAAAATTGGCATAGCATCATCTCGGGAGCCAGAGTCCCTGCCCAGGCCTGAGTGCAAAACTTCCCGCTCTCCCCTGTACCAGGCCGGCATGTCATACACTGCGATGACTTAGTCCCCTGGTTTATTCGGTGCTTTATAAGGGTGAGCACTGCGTAGCAACACAGACATGAAGTATCTAGCGTGATCTAATAGCACAATTCTGCTGGGTTTGGCGCTAACAGTCTGTGAACCTTTTTCATCGTGTTTAATTTTTAACCCCTGGTTCCTTACCAGCTAAGGACCTTGGAATAGGGATCTCTTTAAGCTGAACTTATTAAAATGGAGGAAGAATTATTTGCGATGCTTTGGCAACATACCTCATTTCTGTTGGCTTTGCCTTGGGAAGTGAACCTAACACTGAGACCATTTTGGCAAGACAACTAAGCTATCTGTAGAAAGAAGCATCGTCCTGTCTTCATGAACTTAAACATGAAACACGGTCATCCATTCTGAAGGAAGGAAAGGCCACATTGTCCCAAACCAGGGGTAGGTGGGAGAAAAGCGAGACCTGCCACGGCTGCCTCTGCTCTCTTACAGAGAGTAGGGACATTCCAAAGCCTTTCTCAGGGCGCAGTGGCAGAGCATGGGCAGGGGCCATCGCACCAGAGGGGCCAGGGCAGCACCTGTAGGCGGCTTGCTTCCAGGTGTTTGTGGAAACCCTTAAAATCAGCAGCCACGTGTATACTTTGAAAGGTAACTGAGAGCATCGAACATGGGAAAAGAAAGCCCCTGGAAGACTTTTGGATGTTTCTGTCTCTGTTCTAGGTGTCAACTCTCTACATGAATTTGCCAGAGGGAGACTCTCTCCCACTGCAGAAACCACCAGTTGTTATACCAGCAGTTCTTCCCATGAGGAGGCTTACTGGTGATAGAAATAATTCGGCCCAAGGACAGTACAGTCCCATCACGAATAACTCTTCTTCGATTTCACATACAGGCCACGTCGGGGCCCCCATGCCTTGCAGTTGGATAAAACTGGTTGACGTGGAAGAAATGAACTACCTGGCTGCCAAGGGCGAGGGCGAGGTGAGTGGGGCCCGTCGTTCCATCCTCACATTCCTCTAAAGCTGCCGACAAGCGCGTGCGTTCCCTAGCACAGCCTCACGTAAAGCCTTTGAGCCCCCGAGCTGCACTTCGCTGGTGATCCTGCAGTCAGACAAGCTTCTCTTTTCAAGTGCATTTATGTTTAGATCCCAGAGGGGGTGTTGGACGGAGCCACTGATGCCTGTTTCCTACCAGACATGGTAGAGACTGGGGCCCAAGATGGAGCAAGGCTCCAGTGGCCTGGGGCCTGGGGCAGAGCTCCTGTCTGCCCTTTGCCCCGGGTGCCGGCCTATCAGTGAGCTGCCACTAGTGGGAGGAAAGTTTAATTACTTCAAAGGGATTTCGGCGCCTCTGGGGCTTTCCAGCGGGTTACACCCCAGTTTTATCGAGGTGTCATTGGCACACAGCTCGGTAGAAGTTCAAGGTGCGCACCCAGCATTATGACTTGACTTACACGTCCTGCAAAAGGGTTCCCGCTGTGAATGTAGCTAATGTCTGTCACCTCGTGTAGCTACAAAAAGAGAGGGAAGCTGTTTTTCTCCTTGTGATGCAAACTGTCAGGAGCTCCTCTCTGAACAGCTCTCAGATCACCACTCGCAGTGCAGTGTGAGCGCCGGCCACCAGGCTGGTGCCTCTCTTCTGACAGCGGGAAGCTGCGCCTTCTGACCGCGCCCGCCAGTGCCCCCGGCCCAACCCCCACCCCTGCCTTCTTCTCCCTCAGGTGTGTGTGAAAGGGCCAAACGTGTTTCAAGGCTATTTGAAGGACCCAGCAAAGACAGCGGAAGCTCTGGACAAAGACGGCTGGCTGCACACGGGGGACATTGGGAAATGGCTGCCAGTAAGTGGCCGAGCCCCTGCTCCCTCGTGGGCACATTCACCGCACGGTGGCCTGGCCCCTGCCCCACGGCAGCGGGCCCGGCCTTTCTGTCTCCCTCTGTCCTTGCCCAGGGCTGGCGTGGACGCCTCCATGTTCTGCAGGACACGGGCCTGCCCCTGTGGGGGACTCTCTCGTTACCTGTGGCAGGAATGTTTTGTTTTGATGTTTGACATCCATTCTAGTTGCTGCTCCCTGCGTAACGTCCACAGAGACTGCGGCTTTTTATACGTCGATAGTGCACCGCGGTGTGGAGGCCGCGGCGAAACGGGGTGCGGGGCTGCCGCGCGGGTGGGCAGCCGTCTGCCGCGTGTGTCTCTTAAGTTTGTCTTCGGTTAAAACCGGGCAGGCACTTCACCGATTGGATCAACTCCTTCCAATTTAGCCTCGGGACCGCTGACTGGAGAGCCGTTCCAGAAGCCACCCTAGGAGTGGGAGGCTTGGGCAAGAAGTGGGACCCAGAGAGCTGGCCCATTTGGCTGTGGTAACAGCCACTGCTTTTGAAACCTATTGCTGTGTTGATTGCAAGCACTAAAATGCCTTACATAATGTTTGAAAGATTTTATTTATTTATTTTTAGAGAGAGGGGAAGGGAGGGAGAAAGAGAAATATCTATCCATTGCCTCTCACACGTCCCCAACCAGGGACCTGGCCTGTAACCCAGGCGTGTGTCCTGACCAGGAACTGAACCGGTGACCTTTCAGTTTGCACCCAAACCACTGAGCCACACCAGTCAGGGCCAAACGCCTAATGTAATTTTCATTATCGTGTATTGTTTGATCCTTATCAATTTAAGGTGCTTAATACCATGACATTTTTTATTGCTTTGAAAAATGTCCCCCTAATTAACTCAGATTTCAGACCATCCAAGCTATTTAGAAATAAATTAAGTCCCTTGTCCCGGGTTCAAGAGGGATTAAGTGTCCACTCTCATTCTGGCTCAGAGAGCACAGCTCACAACCTCTCTGGACCCCAGTCTCTCCTGTGAAGAATGGAGAACAGGCGTGGACAGAGAGAGCCTAGGAAGTTTCCAACAGATGACTTTTGGGAGCACGACATTGATGCCAGGGTCGGGGCAGGTTGAAGGTCGAGTGGGCATTGCTGGCACTTGGCAGGTCCGGGCCAGAGAGTTAGTGTCCCCACAGTTACTATGTGGGCAGTTGATCGACTCTTCCCCAAGGTCCAGAAGCTCCCCCCGCCCTTCCAGGCCCCGAAGCCCTAATAAAACAATGAAAACCCTGCCTTGGGCTTGTAAAAGTTTGCTGAGCCCCTGGGGCACCGGGGGAGGGTGAGTCTGAGTCTGTGTCTCTGCTCTCCTGGAACCAAACTCCGCTGCAGACGTGCGTATGTGTCCCTGACTCAGCTGTAAGGCTATAGGCGTGAAGCCATGCTGAACGCAGCAGGCAAAAAGCTGCCAATGGGCTGACGGGGGGTGCAGGGGAATGAGGATGGGCTCCGGGCCCCTCCTCTGTATCCCTACTTGGCTCAATGGCCCTGGGCAAGTTACTTAATTCTCCAAGCCTTCGTTTTCTTCTCTGTAAAATGGGGTGATAACAGACTCTGCCCGAAGGCCTGAGGACTAAGTGAGTAAAATGCCCTGTGCTGGGTGTGACTGAGCCTGGGTGGAAGCCCACCATGGCCCACTCACAGCCCCCCTCTCTGATGAACAGAACGGTACCTTGAAAATCATCGACAGGAAAAAGCATATATTTAAACTGGCACAAGGAGAGTACATAGCACCTGAAAAGATCGAAAATATCTACCAGCGAAGTGAACCTGTTGCGCAGGTGTTTGTCCACGGAGAGAGCTTGCAGGTAGGTGCTTCCTGAGCTGGGAGCTCTAGGGGCAGGCGTGGCGAGTGCTGGTCTCCAGCGACAAGTTTGCGATGACTGTGAAGTGACATTCTCATCTGACTGCTGGAATGGGAAGGAGGCACTATTGGCTTTTGCTGTTGGGCGCTTCTTATTCAGAGAAGTTTCTTCTCCAAATTTCCACATTTTTATTTTACCCAGAGTGATGTGACATACCAGGAGAGGTGGGGTATAAGGTCCTCGGGAGTGGGTAAAGATATGCTTCTAACTTAATGATGAGGGACGATATCAATATGTGGATCACAAGAAAGTTGAGAATTGTCAAACATATTAAGCCCAACATAGTTATGATATGCCTCCTCAATCATCTTCGAGCAAATGGTGGTTGTGAGCCAACATCAAGTTGAAAACCAAGACCGATGTTGTAGTGAAACATCTATTTGCCAAAACACTGGACCAGTAGCAACCAGGGAATAAAGAGGCCTGGTTCCCTGAGGGGTCGTCGTGTCCTAAACCTTGAGGTTTCTAAGTAACTTTAGAAGGTTTTCTTATAAGGGAGTGCACCTATTTTTCTTACTATGCCTTTGATTTTTATTTATTTCCCTATTCTCTACCATCTTATTTCCTTATTTGAGCCTGTTTTATTTTTTAAATATATACACAAAAATAAATAAAAATTGGGGTTTTGGGGTTTTTTTAGGGTTTGATTCCCAGTGGTTCTTTTAAGACACTTACTATAAAATTCCTGATGCCGTCCCTATTTTAGAGCCAGGAGTCCTTACCCTGGGCTCAGTGGCCCCCCCAGGCGGGCAGTGCATCCTGGAGAGAGGGTCTGTAACTTTCACCAGCTTCTCCAGGGGTCTCAGTGCAGACTCATACAGGACCACCCTTGTAGAACACCTGGGTCAAGCTATGTAGTCACTGACTTGTCTGTGTTAAAGGCATTTCTCATAGCAATTGTGGTCCCCGACATCGAGACACTGGGTCTCTGGGCCCGGAAGAGAGGGCTGGAAGGGTCTTTCGAAGAGCTGTGCCGGAACAAGGTGGGTGCAGGAGCTCGCGGCCCCCCTCCGGGTCTCCCCGTGGTGTCCCGTGCCCGGTGCAGGAACCTCCAACCCAGGAAGTTTCTGGTTTCTCTTACCAGGATGTCAGAAAAGCTATTCTGGAAGACATGGTGAGAATTGGGAAGGAGTCCGGACTGAAAACCTTTGAACAGGTAAGACTTTCATAAAAGAACATGAATTCTTGTAGGACAAGTTTCTGACTTGAAGATTCTTTATGAGTAGGTTACAGAAGATGACCTAGAGAAATCGTGAGGGATGAATCATGGCGTGGGTTGGTGCCAGGGTGGTGGGGCGGTGGGGAGTTCTTTAACCGGGGTGGTCCGGATACAGCCCTACATCCTACCCTGAGAATAAGCCACCGTCTCGCAGAGGGAGAGTGTGGCCGGGCCAGAGGTCAGGGGATGGTTTGGCAGTGTACGGGGCTTTACCCCCTTGGGTGGCTCCTCAGACCCAAATTTCTGCCATCCCCTCTCCTCCTAAACAGCCTTGTGTATTTGCAGGTCAAAGGCATTTACCTCTGCACTGAATTATTCTCTGTCGAGAACGGCCTTCTGACCCCAACGATGAAGGCTAAAAGGCCGGAGCTTCGGAATTACTTCCGGTCACAGATAGATGAACTTTATTCCACCATCAAAGTTTAACGGGAGGAGGAAAGCTCAGAAGAAACCACACACCTCCACGATCTTCTTCTACTGGTGGCCTTCACGTCGGTGACTTTGATGACAGCGAGCGCGCGGAAGGGGAGGAATGTTCATGCCTGACTTGTGCACTTGGGGTCCTCATCACAGGAGCATTAGAGGAAGTGGGACACTGCCTTACGGTCACCTCGCGTGGCAGACCATGTGTATATGTGGACATATAGATATATATACATATGGTGACACACAATTTCCAAATCGAGCCTTAAAAATTAAGGGGGAACTGCAAACGTGCGAAGTCATTCTCGACCTTCCTCAGTTCAGAAGGCGGGTGTGAGCGCGTCCACCTCCCTGTTTCCGTAACCGAGGAGTTAAGACTTGGCTGAGAGTCTGCTGCTCTGAGGAGTCCAGTGCACTGGAAGGGAACTGTCCCTTACGAGCAACTGTCCCCGCTGGAGAGTGTCACAAGTGGACCAGAGATTTTTTTTCTTGACCCCTGTCACCCTCCCTTCTGCCTCTCACACACACTCTCACCCCTCTTTTGATGAAGGCCGATGAACCCCGTATTTCTTCACAATCCCCGCATCTCCCCGTGGATCAGAAGGTCCCCAGCGAAGCCAGGGACAGGCCAGGTCAGCACAGTGCAGATGCCGAGTCTCAGACGAGCAGCTCCTGGCCGGGCCGAGCAGGTTCTGGCGGCCACACAGCAGATGCCCCCGGAGCCTCCTCTGCCCCAGGGATCGTGGACAGAAATCCGCCTTGGACTCCGCAGTGAAAGCAAGCATTTCCGGGAAGAACTAGTTACCCAGAACGACCGTGCTCAACTGTGACACCCTCATAACTGTCCACCATCGTCACTGAACCGTCCCTCTGTCTGTGATGGCCAATGGGTTTTTAATGTGGTTTTCATATCAAAAGTTCATGTTGTGATTAACTGGCCTTTCCCCCAGAATAAACTCTCAGGCAAGGCATGTCTTTGGTGATATTAAGGGGGTAGATAGACTTGGGTACCTGCGGAAATGGACAGTAATAAACAAACGCTTCCCTGTCATGCTACCTGATTTCCGTGAAATGTGTTTGACAAGCCAAAATTCTAGGGTGTAGAAATCTGGAAAACTCGTGTCCTGGGGTTAACCACCCCAGGGATTTTTTTGTTTTTTCAGTTAATTTGGGAAATTAGCAGCTCTTCACTTGACTGCAAGTCTTTGCCACACGCGCCTGAATCACGCTGCGTGGGAAGCGGTCGTTTCTGGGTGTGTGAGAGTACACGCGTCACACGACGTAGGGTTTGCACTCAAGAAGCATCACTGTAGTAACACTGTTGGGTAGCCTGACTTCGTACGTGTGTTCTTCACTGCACAGAAAGTCAATAATTTGTCACATTGGGGTTTTGAATGTTTGCTTTCAGTGTTGGCTATTTCTATGTTTTATAAACCAAAATGGAATTTCCAAAAACAATGAAGGAAACCAAAATAAATATTTCTGCATTTCAAGCGAGTGGAGCCTCTGTTTTCGGGCCACGGGTGACAGCAGGGCAGCCGTGGACGCGCCCCAGCCACGGGCCGGTGTGGATCTGGGCCTCGGGCGTGGACGCGCCCGCTCCTTCCCCGGCCTCCTCCTGCAATGCATCACGTTCTCAGGCTCCCCCGCCGCAGCCCTGCCGGGCGGTGCAAGAAAATCACGGTCGGAATAATAGAGGAGATTTTCTTGAAAATGCACATTGTTTGCTGGAAAACCATGGTACGTTTCGGGGGAGCATTGGCTGTACTTGGCGGCCCTGGTGGGTTGGATTCTATTTTAGTCTCTCACTGGTGCAGAAGCTGAGAGCAGCCCCCCCTTCTGTTCCCCTCCCTCCCCATCCCACGCCGTCCTTTGAAAGATTCTCTCTTCCATTGGTGTTAATTACACCACCTCCGACTCCTTATATAATCTCTTGTGTTTAAGCCCATCTCCCTCCCTCCACCCCCTACCTCTTGGGTTTGGTGTGGCCACGTTTGCTGGCTTCCTCTGAAGCTCGAGCCCCAGGCACATGCTGTGCGGAGGCTCCTGGCCCGCCCTGCCTTTTCATCTGAGCTCCGAACGCCTCATCCTGCCTTGTCTCGCCTTCCTCTTCCTTTGTTTCCCTTTCCCTTTCCTTTTCCCTCTCTTAGCACAGAACACAGCGCTTGGAAACCAGGAAGTTCTCGCTAAGTAAGTCTTGTTTGAATAAATACCTGAAATTTTGAACAAAACTCTTCTTTGGAATGAAGTTGATACACATACTGTTTTTGTTTTCCTTTTGAAGAGTTATTGTAAAATACACACAGCATTTACCACCTCACTCATTTCGAAGTGCACAGCCGAGTGGCATTGAGGAGGTCCCCCCGTTGCTGCGTGGCCGTCCCCGCCGTCCATCCACAGAGCCCATGCACCTCGGAGACCTGAAACCGAGGCACCTGGAATCATCCCGCCTTTGTCCTCTGGGGACTGGCTCATTGCACTCAGCACAGTGTCTTCACGGCAGGGGGGATCCCCCGCCTTGGGGCACGGTGCAGTCACCCCGACGCCCTCCCTGCAGGCCCAGCTGCCACACGACCTCTCTGTCCGAACTCAGAAACGCAGCTCGTTTCGAAGCACACTTGGCGTTTGGTAGTTCTGTACTTCTGCCCTCTGTCAAGTGTTAAGTTACTTGGAATAATACTAGTGACCGAAATGCGTAGAGGGCTGCCCCACGCCAGGCACCGCTCTTAGCGTTTTACTCAGACGACCTGTGTGATGTGTGTCAGCCTTCAAGCCAAGTGCATCCATTGTCCCCATGTTACAGACGAGGCCATGGCCGCACACCAACAACGGGATCGGTGTCATGTGCCTGACAGACTCGGAGCCGGGAAGCCGGGCTCTGCACACTGAGCCTCAGCCTCACACTGTGGGCGTTTCTCGTTTGCCTTTGGCGGTGAACTTTCTGACGAAACGTCATTGGATTGTTCTTGGCGGCAGCTTCAGTGCACGTGGTTTTGATTCCTAAGGGTTTTTCTTTGTCACAGCAGAGCTAATACCACTTCACAGACATTTAGTTTGGTTTCGTGGCTTATCAGAAATTAAATATGGCTGCTCTCCGTGATGTTGATGATCTCAGGTGCTTGAAGGACCAACACTTTGGCAGAACCAGCTGCTCTATCTTAGCAGGAATGTATATGTAACACATAGGGGATCATGGCCATGTGGCAGGTTCATAAGTTCCCATGGAAGTTCTCGGAATCAACTACGGCAGCAGCAATGGCAGCAGGGATTGCAGACTCACTGTGGGCAGGGCACTACGATCATTCTTTACTTATGTTCTCATTTCATTCTCACAACAACCCTGGCGGGCCAAGGGGCTTCATCGGGGAACCTGGGGCCTGCAGTAAAGGAGGGCCGCTAACCGGGCCCTGGCATCCTTGCTATTTGATGGGAAGTTAAAGAGGGAGCTGGCGAGGGAGATTGAGAATTGCCTGCTGTGGAGGGAGGTGGGAAACCAGCCTGTGATCTCCCTGAAGCCGAGAGAGGGAAGTATTTCAGGAAGAGAGGGAGGGAATCGGTGCAGCCGAAGAATGGAATGAGGCGGGGACAGGGAAGGGCCGCTGCCTTCAGCAAGGGTGGCGACATTGGCAATAGTGTCCCACAGGGTAGGGAGACCAGAAACTGGCTGGGAGCAAGTGGAGGTGTGAACGGGGCCGTCAGGGAGAAGGCTGGACTGCTCTGTGCTGACGTCTCACTGTGAAGGAAACCAGATGAAAGGCTGGTGCCTGGGGAAAGGTGGGAGGCTGACAGGTGGCCTGCGTTTGCTGCTGGTGGAGGTTCTTAGGATGGAAGACGCTAGAGCATCTCATGGTGTGCCCTTGAGAAAGGTGCTGGAAGGGAGGGAGAATGCAGGGAAGAGGGGGAAGACTGCTATTGTGAGAGGCCAGGAGGGTTGAAATCCACAGTCAGGTTCAGAGATGGGCCATCAATAGGGCACTCCTTCCATTTCAACACGAGGTTGGGGTGGCAGTGTTGGGAGACAGAGAATGGGGAGCTGTAAGTGGAGATGTAAGCAGACCCACGGTGCCTGGAAACTGCTCTCTTCCACCGAAGTATCACTCCCTGCTGTGGATGAGAGCATGGAGCCCCAGAGAGCTCAGCTCACGTGTCCTGGCAACTAGCACAGTTGGATGTTCCGCCCTCAGGCCTGTCCGTGCCTGGGGCGCCCATTTGGCTGTCCCTTCCTCTCCTTGGCATGGTGCCCTGTGCCCCGAGCATCCGCAGCACCCAGTCCCTGCATCAGACGGGTTTTCTTCCTTAGCTAGTCCTCAAGTGCAGCCGAAACCTGCACAGCAAATAGACCTGTTTACCATCTAAGTCACATCACAAGGCAGAGCAGAGTCAATATCTCAGACCCTGGCCTTTGTGTGTTTCCATCCAGATTTCCAGCACTTTCTTCTTTTCACACCAGGTCAGCAGAGAAGCCTGCCAGCCCGCTCCTGGTTGCTGGGTGGAGCAGGTGGCTGAGGGGGGCAGGTCCCGGCAGCACCCGGAGAGGTGAAGGCGGTGGGTCTGTTCAAGGAACAGACTGGAGCGCCCCCCTCCCCCCATTCCTCAGCCACCAGCTCCCTCCGTGGACACATGGAGAGTGGGTGGGCATTGAATCTGACCTCAGGGGCCTCTCCAGAGGGGGGTTCTCAGTACAGAGCAGACCCTCGGGGCTCCGTCAGCAGCGCTGCCCAACTCAGGTGAGCTGGAACCTGCAGGTGCAGACCGAGCAGGACCCCCACGCCCCACCCCCGCTGTCCTCTCACCCTGGGTCCTGGAGCAGAGGCCCACACCTGGGAGCGCTTGGAATTCACTTCCTCGCTCAGCATGGGTGCGTGGGAAGTTGACTCACAGTTCCTACTACCCATATATTTAGCATAAAAAGAAATCCAGATTTTTCCCTTTGCCTTTTAACTCCTTCGCACTGCGTTGCTCAGATAGCAGTGCGAGGAGATGAGTTCTGCCCCTCAGCCCTGTTCTTCAGGTGCTGGGGGACTCTGTTCTTGGTTGGAAACGGGGTGGGGGTGTGTGTTCACAATTGTATTTTACATAGACGTTATCAGCCAGTCTCTTCTGTTGAGATTTTTAAAAGTGGGGAAGGGGGTGCGGTGGGCGTCAGATTTCTCTAACAGACTATTAGGGCTGCTGCGTTTCCCCCAGTAGAACCCCCGGGCAGGCTTCCTGCTTCTCCTGGCGTGTCCCGATTGAAGGGTGAGCCAGGGGCGCGCCGCGGAGCCGGGCTGCAGGGCCGCGTAGGCACCGCACGCTGCAGAGGACCCACCTGAAGCGCGTGGGAAACCAGTCTGCTCACATTCTGCGTCAGGCAGCGTGTGCAGACGACACAGAGGGACGCCTGCTCGGGCTGCCTGGCTTTCCCACACCCCAGATACTGCCGCCCTCCGCCCTGCGGCGCTGCGGCGGCGCCCCGCCCCGCCCAGCCGAGGTGTCCCTGGGCCCGAGATGTGGGAGAAGTCCCAGGGCTGCCCCAGTTGGCCGCAGCGCCCCCAGCTTGCTGAATGTTTCTCCTGTCGCCTGTGAAATCTGTCCAGTGTCCTCCGCACCTTATTCCTACAGCCCTTACAGGACCACTGCACCTCCTTGTCTGTATTGGTCTGTAGGAACTCACTCCCCGCCCCCCTCTGCTGCAAGAATGATTTTTCTAAGTCACAAGCCTTGTCACGTGATCCCCCTGCTTAATCGCTCAGAGGTTTCCTGGTGTTCTCACACCTGAACTACTTAGAGGGGGCTCCTCAAACTTTATCGTGCGTCCTGTCCCCTGGGGAATCTTAAAATTCAGATTCTCATTCAATAATCCTGGAATGAGGCCTGAAATTCTGACTTTTGAATGTGCTCCCAGGTGATGCTAATGCTGCAAGGAACTGGGGGTTCCCTGCCCGCCTCCCTAGCCTCCTCCTTCGCCACATCCCCCAATCGGCTGAGCCACACTGAACCTGTTCTAGCTCCCAGAATGCTCCATGCTGTTGCTCACTGCTGGGACTTTGCGCATGCCTTCTCCAAGGAGCAGCCTCTTACCCTGGCCTGGCTGGCTCCTACTCCTGCATTTCACTTGGATCGTAGCTGTCACTTCCTCTAGGAAGCCCTCTTTGATTCTCCAAGCCCAGGAGAGAAACTGTGGAGCATGGTCGAGGCCGGCTGTGGTGTGAGGTGGAGGGGAGGGTGGCAATGATCTTTTTATGCTGTGACAAAGGTCAAAAGGGAGCGTGAGTGAGCCTAGGAAGAGCAGCAGCCAGAGAATGGGGGCGCTTTCCTCCTGGAGAGGGTCCTCAGAAGGCTTTTTGTGTCACCAGGGGCTACAGAGAAAAGGCTGTCTGACCTGAGCGTGTGCGAAGGCTCAGCATCTGATTTCAGCCCAGCAGAACAACCGCTGCAGGAAGGACAGTAGTTGCCCGGGACTCTCGGAACAAGGTCAGCCCCAAAAGTAGTGTCCACGTGAGCGAGGTCATTGAAAACTTTTCCAGAAAGTTCTTTTCAACCACAGCTTGGGTGAGAATCCTGGAGATATGTCTCTACTGTAGAAATCCCATTCCAAAACCCTTTCCCCCTTTTCTCAAGGAAATATTTTACTTTGGGCTGTCATTTCATTTTATTTCCTCTGCTCACTTGAGTTACAGGAGTACTTCCTATGCAGGTTGGAAGTAGCTGTTCCTTTGCTAGAGAAGTCCCAGCGTTTTGCTAGAATGCTCCTGCCAGGAGTCCCGACCAGCCTCTCTCAGCCCTGCAGGGCACTGGGAATGGAATCTTGAGACATGTGACCACCGCTGCCTGATGTGGGGCTCAGACCTTTTTGCCATGTGATCTCAGCTTGGGTAGGAGCAGTGCCAGTTAGGTCTGGAAAAAGTAGAACATTAGTTACAGGGCAATTAAGTTCAGTCTCTGCCTAGAGCCAGGGAGCTGTCAGAAAGCATGTGACAGGGGGAGCTGTCTCATGTCACTGCCATTTGCTGCAATGGAAAAACCTTTCTGCCCTCCAACTTTAATAGACACCAAATAAGATGTCCTTCCTGAATTTCAGTTTTTCTGAAAGGGACCATCCAAGTGACAGTCTCCCAATTCCTTGCCTCACCCTCCCCCCCCCCCCCCGTGGGGGACACTTCAAGTGTGTTTTGCTGTGTCATAACTACAAATGTTGAGCAGTTGGTCTGTTTAAAGCAGATAATGACTTTAGTTTCTTCCAGATGAAAACCGCCAAGGTTAGTGGCTTATTCCCAAGCACCCAATAATTTTTTGGTACTGTAGAAAGTGCAAAAAGAAAGTTAGGAAATCTGAGAAGTAAATTATTTTCTTTTTCACACCAGAAAATCATTCTTTTTTGGCTTCAGGAAAACATACAGGAATGGATTTGGTAACTTTGGGGAGAGAATAATGCCCAAGAAGGGGGAAATAAATTGAGCAAGGGCATTGAAGACATCTAGTCTTATTCATCTTGAACTTTGAGCTAATATTTACAGTATCTGCAAATGAGTAGCTCTGGTCCCAAAATACATTTTCGAATCTCCTGTTTCGTTCTTTGTCTGACCTCTAGTGGACACATGCTGAACAGAAAATTCAACCGAAGGGTTTTCTGGGAGAGAGACAGAGAGGCCATAGGAAGGAAATAAGGTCTTCTAGGTATCTAGATGCCTACGTATTGTTTACTCGTTCATGACAATGCTGTAAGAAAAACACAATTAGTCTTGTTTCTATTCTCATTTAAACATCAAACTAATAATCCCAAAACTTGGAACTGACGTATATATCCCAATGGTTCTGTTTCTCAGGAAAGCCCTGATACAGCTGGGTGCCTCACCAAAGCTGGCCCAATTGGAGGACATCTTAGGCATTTTCCTGGCAATGCCGATATACAGCATTTCTGTGAATGGTGGAATTCAGATGTGTGACTCGGAAGGGCTGCCAGGTGCAAGCTCTGAGCCAGAATCCTAAGATCTAATGCAGGTGCTGCCACTACTACCTGTGGGACCGCTCCTTAGTCTTCTCATGTGTTCAGTGGGATTAGGGTACCAACCATATAGGGGTGTTATGAAAGGGTTAAGGGGTCTAATAGAGACTAAGCACTCACAACAATGACTGGATCATAGTAAATGCTCAATAAATTCAAGGGATGAGGATGAGGATGGTAGAAATCAGCCTGTGGGAAAAGGTAGCATACCAGAAGGGCACGAAAATGCATTCAGAACCCTGGTGGCTTCCAGATCAAACTGAGCTTGACAGCCATCCTGTCTCTGGACTTCTCAGTGACATGAGTCCATAAATTCCTCTATTCAGTAAACCTGGTTTGGTTGAGTTTTTATTTCCATCCTGAGTCCTGAACCTCTTCTTGTCTTTTCAGACCCATTGCACAGAAGGTTTGACTACAACCTTTCCCAGAAAAATGAAGCTGCCTATTGACTCTCTTAGGGGCCCATCAGCGAGAACAACCTTCAATTCTTCAAAGGTGTTTTCCTCTTCTCTTGCAATTGCCCCAGGGATTCTTGGGTGGGGTGAACAGGCACCTTCCTGAAGAGGAATCAAGAAGGATCTATAAACAATGAAAAGATGACCCGCTCAAGGGAAATGCAATTAAAAAAAAAAAAAAACAACAGGATACTATTTCAGCTCATTAGTTAGGTAAAAATTGAAAGCATTAAAAATTCTAAGTATCAACCAGTACATGGAGTCAAGGGGACTTTTATGTACTGCTGATGGAGGTGTAAGTTGTAGTCTACAAAACACCTGTAAAAATTAGCCCTTATCATGTAAAGCTGAAAATTCCTTTAAAGGATGAAGTGATAACATTACTACTGCGTCTACCGCTGGAGAAACTGTTAGGTGTGTAGCCAGCAACACACAAAAATGGTTAGTGCTGCATTGTGGTAATAGCAAAAAAAATAAAACAACTGATCTACCCATACCCAGGAGAAGGGATAAATAAAATAGTATATCTACATAACGCATTCCAAAGAATGAAAATGAATGAACTACAGCTACGTGAATCAGTGTGGATAAACCATAGCTTTCAGTGAGAAAGAGCACTTGTAGAATACATACCAAATATTTACATAAGATTTAGAAATATACATATCATTAATGTGACAATTAACACATTGAGGGATATAACAGGTAGGAAAGCATGGGAATGATAAAATGTATCCTTGGGAGGAATGATAATGATTTATTTCCTAATCCAGTGGTGAGTACATAGGCGCTTTTTTTTTCTGTATGCATGAAATACGTTAACAATTTTCTATTGTGGTGAAATATACATATCAAACTTTAGCATTTTAACCACTTTTAACTGCATAATTCAGAGGCACTACTTAAGCCCATGCGTTCACATTATTATACAATCACCCCACTGCTCTCCCTCTCCAGAATGATATCATAAAGTCATTGCTAAATCCAATGTCACGAAGCTTTTGCTGGTGTTTTCTTTTAAGACTTTCATAGTTTTAGATCCTAGATGAAGCCTTTGATTCATTTTCAGCTCATTTTTAGTTACGGTGTGGTGAGAGCCCTCTCTGTTGGTGAATAAAGAAAGACGCCAAGTTGAGACTAGTGGTTAAGGGCAGCCAAACAGAAGTCAAACCCTCTCTACTCGGCTTTGAATTACACTAGACAACTGCGCAAGCGCCTAAACAGCTTGCAACCAGACCCGGGATTTGGACCCGCCTCTCGGCTGAGTGTCCATTGACGTTTCGGCACAGGCTCCTCCCTTTCCGGGCTCCGTGTGTTGGAACTTGGACAATTGGCGCATGGCGCGGGTGGGAGGGAAACCTCGGCAAATCTTTGTCGTTTAAGAGGGCCGTCAGCAACCGGTTGTAAGGCGCGGACTCCAGCCCTGCCTTCTGTGGTATTCCAGGCCGCATTTTCTCTTGGACTGTAGGACTGGGCCGAGCGCTGGCCGCCGTAAAACTAGGGCAGGGCGTAAAAGGTGCGCATGTGCATGCGGAGCTCACGGATTGGCTAATTGAATCGGCGCAGGGTTGGAGGGAGATTTGTGACCCACGGCGGCTGGGAGAGCAGTCGCAGCTGCTATGGCTTCTTCATGGCGGGTTCGGACCCTGGGAGGCATGGCGTAAGTGATGCGGTCCCTGGCAGCGCGGGCCGGGGACCGGCTTTATCTTCTTTGCGTCTTGCTGTGGCGTGTGCCTCTCCCAGCTGTGCTCCGTAGCGGGGAGTACTTGCTGTGTTGGTTCCCCCGTGTGACTCTGGGCCGCGGTGTCCACGTCTGTAAAATGGGAACTATTCCCAACGTTAAGGATTGCGGTGAGCTTTATGCAGTTATAGTTTTTAACCGCTGGGCGGGCAGGAGAGGATGTTGGTTAGCGTCAGTACTGCTTGGCGTGGGTAGTGTTGTCTAAAGCAGACTCCAAACAAGACACTTATTGAGTGCCCGCTGCTTGCCAGACATTTCACTCTTGCGACGTTGATTCCGGCCCGTAGTCGGTAGTCTTATTTTCAAGTCCTTGCCATGTTTGTGGCACAAACCACAGACCTTAAAGCTGAACCAGATCTCAGCGGGGATGGGATGGGATGTGGGGCGACAAAGCTGCCGCTTGTTATTCCTAAAAGGGGCACTCCAGAATGAGTCAAGCAATTGAAAACACCTTTCATTCAAGTATAATTGGCGCATGATATTATATTAGTCTCACGTGTACAACACAGTGATTCGACATTTATACACTTGGGATGTGATTACACCCTAAGTGCAGTAAACTTATTTTTCATGAAAAAAGACATGCATTTAAAAAGAGGTTGCAGAACTGCGTCCTAAAATGCTTGCTGTGGTCGTTGCACCAGGTCCCACACTGAGTGAGGGGCTCCACCTGGGTGGTGGAGGGCTGCCTGGAGGAGGCAGCCTTTGTAGGGCAGGGCGAGGGGCGAAGCCAGACAAAGCAGGGATCTGGAGCTCTGCGGACAGTTCTGAGTCCGGTGGGGAGGGTATTTGGGGAAAAGATATAAGTGCAGCTGATCAGAGTTTAACTTGATTTGATAGGCCCAGGGTTGGTCCCTCTCACACACACACACTCACACATATTTAACATTCTATATATTATATAGAACACAATTTTATTTATGTCCTTATATGTGTAAACATGTTTATCTTTGGGCCTCATGAAATCTGTTCACCTCTCTTCCCAAAATGCACTGGTTTGTACACCAAAGTTTTTTTACCTGTGGTATCGCAGAACTTTCCATCTTTTGGAACTCCACTTTTTTTTCTTTTTTGCATGCAGTCAAGGCAGGTGACAGTGGAAAGAGTTTGGGTTAATCTGGCTTCTAGTCTATTTGTGTTACTTAGCTCTGTGACCATTGGTAAGTCACTTAACTATTCTGAACCCCCAAATCATAATTGCCATAGAGTGGATACTTGTTCTGTCTTCTTCGGGTGTGAGGATCAAATACGGCAGGGGTTCTCCGAGTGGGGTCCCCTGACCAGCAGCATTGGCGGCAGCAGGGACTTGTTAGAGGTGCAAATGTCAGGCCCCACTCCAGGCCGACTGAATCCCGTGTTCTGGGGTGGGGCCACCGATGTGGTTGCACAAGCCCCACAGGTGATGCCGATGCTGGATGCTGGCAAAGCACAGCCTTAAGCGGTTTTCCAGCTTCTTGTTTGCTGTGCATAAGTCACAGTGTCTTAGAGCCCAATTTGTACACATATGGACATGTGTAACAAAAGGCTTATGAACATACTGTGTCCGGGGCAGCCTTATATTTTATATCCTCTCGGATGTATTTCCTTTTTTGTTAGATGCTAGGGGAAAAACCCTAAATGACATTATGGGGCAGTTGATGAAATTTGGATACAGACTGTGGATTAGATACTGCTGTGAAGTTTGTTGATTTGGAAATTACATTGTAAGTAGGCCCTGTCTTAGGAAAGACATACAAGTATTTGGGGGTGAAGGTGCACAGTGTTTCAGTTTACCACGCATACACACGCATGCACGCACGTATGCAAAGCAAATGAGACACGATGTAAACAAGTGTAAACTTGGTCAGTGCGTATACAGAGGTCCTTATTACTATTCTTGTAACTTCCCTAAAAGTTACTCAAAGAAATACTGGTTCAGACACAGTAAACTGAGTTTGCTGTCCCCAAATGGGGGTCTGCAGGGCATGTGTCCGGGTCTCAGCCGCCTGCCCGGAACAGTGCCTGGTGCACAGAGGACCCGCAGCACGTTTTCGCTGGCAGTGCTGTTTTCTGCCGCTCTCGTTTCCAGTTTTCTTGCCCGTCACTGCTGTTCCATCTTGTTTACTTTCAGGTTGCTGAAGATGTGCAGCTTTTTCCTTTTACCCTAATTAATGCCCCGTGGAGGGAGCAGGAAGGGGTGGAGCCGGAGCTGAACTGACGCACAGTTTAACGCAGGCCTCTCCTGCCTGGCTGTGTTGCTCTGGGCAAATACACTCCTGAGGCAGGGACTCTTCTGGACCTCAGAGGACTGTTGGGGCTCAGGGGGAAGATGCTCGCGCCCGAGCCAGGCACAGGGTGGAGCGGGAGTTGGGTGCCGCACACACGTCAGTGCGCCCCCACTTTGCTCCGTTCTGCAGGAACTGTCCATCCTGCTCCTGACTGAGACCTCGGGCACAAGGGTAACAGGGGCAGGACTCTTCCCTGTTCCTGAGCGGGGAGAGGTGCTATTGTATACATGGGTGATATGATTTGACCTATAAAAATACAATTACATTCATGAGATGTGGGTTCTGCTTTCTAAAGTGATTTTGCCATCACCTGCATTTCACTGGGTGCACGTTACTAGTGCAGTATGAATATGATTTGGAAAGAAAATGCTTGGAAGGGTTGCAAGTTACACTGTTTTCTCTACTTACTTTTGAAATATTTCCTAACTTTTGTGTGTGTGTTTTTTTTTGCTGTTTAATAGTGCTAGATATTCAAAGAACACTGTAGGAAGAACACGTCCCACAGAAGATGTAAGTTATCTTTTTATGTTTTGACTTGATTTTCTCATAACTGACAATGCAGAATAACTAGCCTCAGAGTTTGGCGGATGCCACCAGGTCAGTTCAGCATTTCATCGTAGTGATGGTGCCTTCCTCTTCCACTGTTTGCAGTGTAGTGGGGGAAATTGCTAACGTTTTGAATCTTTTTGCCTAGACCTAGGTTGGTTTTATTTTCGCTTGGATAACTGACATTATTTAAAATCGTACAACTTAGTGTATGTTGCTATTTTCACTTATAGCCATTTCTCCATGATATTAGAGTTTTAAACAATTGTTAATGACTGCAACATTCCACTTAGTCCACGTTACAGTTTACTTTAGGGGACAGTCTTAGAACAAATCTGTGTTAAAGGCAGGGACATTTCTTTAACACTCTTGATAGCTTACTGTATTTCTCAGGCTAAAAGATGCACATTTCCCCCCCAAATTTGGGAGGAATAATGGTTGTTAATGCTGCTGTTATGTTGTTTACATTTACATTGGTGAAATGTTATGTTATTTATGTTATTAAATATTTTACATTTTTTTGCTTCAAAAATTTTTTTCCTATTTTCCTCCTCTAAAAGGTAGGTGTGTCTCATGGTCCAAAAAATACGGTATTTTAAATGACTCTTTCCAGGGTCACGTTAAGATACAGGACCGCTGAAGGCGGAGGCCTGCTCTCAGGTCAGGCTTCCTGTCTGCGCCCTGGTTGTCGGTCCTGTGTGGTCTCCTGCCTGCTGCCCTAACACCCACCTTCAGAGGGCGGCTCTCCGACCCCAGGGGGGAGGCTCCTGCAGGGTCCCTCAGCTCTGTGCTCCCACCAGCCCTGGGGTGCTTGTTCCTTGGACGGATTTCTCAGCTCTCCGCCCTGGGTGGCCCCGGGCGGCCCCAATCCGGAGTGCCTGGGGTGGACCCTTCAGCGCTCCTGCCTGCTCCCTCCTGTGGCAGGCAGCTGTGTGGGGGGACCGTTCCTTAGGAGGCTGGAGGGTCTGTCCGGCCTCTTCTTGGGCATTCCGGCCCAAACACTCTACAGATGATTTTTCACTGAGGGTCTGCCAGTGGTGAGGTTTTGTTCTGTTTGTCAGTTCTGCCCCATCTTTGCATCTCCAGAATTTTCTCATCTGTTAGTGGCACCTTTCCACATTTTCCAGAGCTACTGCTGATGTTTTCTCATTTCTCTGTTGCCCTTTCATGAGGATTTGGGGCAGCACACATCATGGGGCTCCACGTTTCACATGTTGAACCAGAAACCTTGGTCTGTCCCTCAGTGGGGAGTTCTAACCCCACGTGGCCTCGGGACTGTCGACAGCCTTTTTTTTTTAAATTTTTATATTGATTATGCCATTACAGTTGTTCTATTCCCCTCCACCCTACCCCCCTGTCCCCACCATTACCCCCCCTTTAGTTTATGACCATGTGTCTCAAGTTCTTTAGATTCTATATTTCCCATGCTATTCTTGCCCCCCCATCTATTTTCTATCTCCCATCTATGCTACTTATTTTCTGTACCTTCTCCCCCCTTCTCCTCCTCCCACTCCCCTGTTGCTAACCCTCCTTGAGATCTTCATTTCTATGTTTCTACTCCTGATCTAGCTGTCCTTTTAGTTCGCTTTCGTTTTAGGTGTGGTTGTTGATAACTGTGAGTTTGCTGTCCTTTCACTGTTCATGTTTCTTTAACTTCTTTTTCTTAGATAAGTCCTTTTAACATTTCATATAATAAGGGCTTGGTGATGATGAACTCCTTGAATTTGATCTTATCTGAGAAGCACTTTATCTGTCCTTCCATTCTAAATGAAAGTTTTGCTGGATAGAGCAATCTTGGTTGTAGGTCTTTGGATTTCATGTCGACGGCCTTTTAGACCTCTGGGTCTGACCCTGGCCTAACCCTGTCCACGGCCTTTCAGACCTCTGGGCGTATGTCTGGGTGGAGGCCCGTCTTTCCTTAGATCAGGAGTTGGCAACCATGGTCCATGGGCCACCCTGGCCTGCCCTCCGTGTTTATACAGCCCTGCAAACTATCGATGGTTTTTATATTTTTAAATGGTTGAAATAAAGTCAAAAGAAAAAACGTGTCATGACACGTGGGAATGGTGTGAAATTCAAAAGTCACTCATATCTGTATCTGAAGTTTTCTGGCAGCACAGCCGGTTCCTTCCTCCCGTCCCCAAGCTCAGCCATCGCCGGGGAGGGCGGCGGCCTGCGGAGCCTAGTCTGCTGGCTTTCAGGTCCGCTGCAGAAAAGTTTGCCAGCTCCTGCCTGAGGTGATCGGGGGGAGCCCCGTGCCCCTGAAGCGATGGCGGCGGTGTCCTTGCTGGGTCGGTCCGTTGGGGATGTTCTTGTTCAGAAAGCCGGTTCAGTGACTTTGACTGTGTTGCTTCCAGAGAGCCGGCCGGCCGCAGAAGCCCGCTGCCGTGTACGGCTTTCCTGATGTCCCGGGCATGGGCAAGTGGAGTGAAGATGAGAAAGATGAGGAACCTTATGAATCCTTTGGTTAGTATTTCAGACCTTTATCCCCAAAACTTGAAAGTAGTTTAAGCAACATTTAGGCTAGTTCCTAATAAAAATGTAGAAATATCTTCAAATATAAAACTCAGATGTCTACATATGAATGTCATGTCTGGGGTGTTCCTTATAATTTGAATGAATTTTTCTCACTTCTGACTACATGGTAACTAAGAATTCTATTAAACATTATGAAAGTAGGACTCTTCTGGTAGCATTTGTTAACAAGCCAGTCATGTTAGGACAGCTATGTAGTGCCCGTAACACGAAGACTATAAAATGTATTTCTTACTCCATACCAACAGCAAGGATCTTGAGTTTAGAGAGAAGAGGGGGATTTTCCCTCCTCTTAAACACACTGACGCAAAGGGTGCTGCAGGGGAGCCCGGGGAGAGCTCCGCCGTTGCTCCCGGAGTGGGAGGGAACCGGCCAGTGCCTGGCTGACCGCAGGGCGTCCAGATGGGACTGCCTCTGTCCCCGCATCCCTGGCCGCTCCAGAGGCCAAAAACGATGCAGAAAGTGCCACCTGCCTGCACGTTCGGAACAGCAGTGGTCAGACATTTTTGCTGGAATAGGTTTTAAGGGAATTTTGAAAATATATACTCTCACATAGTTTTAATTTGGTATCAGTATTTTTCTAATTTCCCGTTAAAGAATTCACCCTTTTTAGCGTGTGCGATTCAGTGTTTTAGTATAGTTGCAAAATTGTACAGCCGTCACTGGGTGATCGCTTCATAAGTTATATAAATGTCTGGCAACTACGTTGTACATCTGAAACTAATATTGTATGTCAGCTGTACTTGAACCATTTTTTAGATTGTACACCTCACCGTTACCTATTCCAGAACATTTTAATCGCCCTGCGAAGCAGCTCCCCACCTGTCAGCAGTCCCTGCCGTCCTCTGCCCTCCCAGCCCCCCACAACCGCCCGCCCACTTCCCATCTCCGTGGACTTGCCTGTCTGTACGCCTCGTGGTCATTCGTGTCTGGCTTCTTTCACTGAGGGTGCCGTCTTTAAGACTCATGTGTGTTGTAGCAAGTGTCCATGTCATTCCTAAAAATTTTTACAGCTCTGCTCTCCATCTTCGAGTAGAGCTCGTTCGGCTGTCCACTCATCGGTTGGTGTGTGTGCATTGGGTCGTTTTCACTTTTTGGCCATTTTTTCACCGACATGTTTCTTTTTGATACGCACCTGAGCATAGCATTCCTAAGCCACATGGTAATTCTACGTCAGCGTTTGAGGAATGGTTTTATGAGGCAGCTGCTCGGCTCTACCTTCCCCCCGGCACCATCGGAGGGGTCCCGTGTCTCCCCATCTCCGCCACGCTCGTTACTGCCTGGCTTTGTCTTCCGGCCACCGTTCTTGGTGTGCAGTGGCATCTCACTGTGTTTGTGCCATAAAATATGCATAACATAAAATACACCACTCCTGGCACATCGAAGTGTACAGGTCTGGCATTAAGCACGCGCGCCTTGTTCTGCAGACCCCATCACCGCCCGCCTCCAGAACCTTCTCCGTCTGCCCTGCAGCCCTGCGCCCTCTGAGCAACAGCTTGTTGCTGTGACTGCAAGTACTTCAGGGACCTTCTGTGAGAGGGGCGTGCAGTGTCTGTCCTGCCGTGTCCTCGTTTCACTCGGCATGTGTCTTCACGTTTAGTCCCTGCCGTGGCATGTGTCAGAATGTCCTTTTAAAGCTGAAAAACGCCCCACCCTGTGTACGCGCGCTCATCCATTCATCTGTCGGCGGGCATTTGGCCTGCTTCCACCTCGCGGCCATTGTGAATAATGCTGCTGTGAGTACGGGTATGCAAATATCCGTTTGAGTTCCTGCTTTCACTTCTTCGGGGTAGAAACCCAGAAGGGAAGTGCTGGATCGTATGGTAATTCTGCGTTCGATTTTTCTGAGGGGTCACCATGCCGTTTTCACAGTTCCCACTAGTGACGTACAGGGCGCCCATTTCTGCACTCGTTTGTATTTTCTTTGGGTACCATCCATCCCGATGGACGCCTCCTGGCGTCTCCTGTGGTTTTGCGTTGTCTTTCCCTAATGACCAGCGGGGTCGGGCATCTTTCCTTTGCTTATTGGACACCTGTATAATACCTTCTTTGAAGACAGACATACCCTTGGACCAATTTTAAATTGGGTTATCTTTCTATTGCTGAGCTGTAAGAGTCCAGTGTGTAAGACTGGTTACATATGGAGATTCAACATTAATGTAATTATCCCTTTTCCCTTGTTATTTGCAGTAGTAAATAAATCCCTTTCTATAGTTGAGGGCAATGCCTAGTATATTACTTTAAAGTTGTACAGTTGACATGTTCCTTATTTAAGAAGATGTTTATTTGAAAAGATGTTTACATTTTCACGGTCATGCTAAAATTGGAGCGTGAAGAAAGGGTTGCTTGGCTCTCACCCAGCATCCTGACCCCACCGCCATTCCGCTGTACCACCCGCCCAGGACCTGCCCAGTGGTCTCTCCGGGTGCCTGTCTTTCCTGGGCAGGCAGGAGCGCCCCCCCTCAGCATCTGCCTTCTGTGCGTTCCCCCCAGCCGCCCCCCCCAAGGCCACTTGGTCTCCTCGTTGGTCTGCTTCCTTGTTATTCAGGGTAGCTTCTTGCAGCAGCTGGGGGCGCTAGCAGTGCAGAGTCAAGCAGAGAAGACAGGACAGGAGTGAGGGAGGACTGGAATTCCTCCACAGAGACCGAGGTCCCCTGCACCAGGCACTTTGCCAGGTAGTGGAGTCGGTCACGGGAGTGCACCAGTCAGGCCAAGCCGCGGGGTCGGTAATTACTGCAGCGAGTGTGCTGCTCCATCGGGCAGGGGAGACAAAGTCTTCCCGTTGAACCATTTTCAGGTAGACACAGTAATGCAGTTCCTCTCGTTTGTATTTATCAGTGACGTGGTTTCAGTTTGTGGTTGCCGAGGTGTGAGATCAGAAACACTTGGGACGTAGGCTGTATGATTATTTTGGTTTTGTTAGCTCGTCTAAGCAAAGACGGCTCCGCCCTGGCTCGTGGGAAAGCTGGCGTTCCGAAAACTCTCTTGCAGAGCCGCCTTTGCACAGCACCGCCATTTACTCGGACGACGCGGAGCTCTCTGGACACTGCGGCTCCCTCGGCCCCCTTGGCTCCTCGGCTGCCCCGGCGGAGGGAGCAGAAGGAAGGTGCGCTTACGTTTCAGGCGATCGTTTATTCGAGGTCAATGGGATTTCTGAGAAGCTTTTTAGGATAGAGCCTTACATTTTTAAAAAAGCTTTTAAAAGATGTTTTGGGCCAACTTAGGTTTTTCCTTAAGAGAGTTGGTACATAAAAACTTAATTTTTCAAAAATTGACATTACTTTTGATAATTATAGAAGCCAGTGGGGATGTAATGTTCACTTTATTGACGAGTTAATAATGCTATAATGCATATGTTAAGACAGATCGTAAAGGTTCTCATCACAAGAAAACAGTTTTGTTACTATGTATGGTAAAAGATGTTAATTCATTTTGCAGTATATACAAATACATGATTATTACATTTTATACCAGAAAGTAATGTTTTATGTCAGTTGTGCCTCAATAAATATCAAGTGTAATTTAATGACCAGAAAATGTAATCGACACCTGGTCATCCTAGAACATTGCCTGTGAAGGTGGTGCAACTTTGAAAACAAGGAGGGAGGGAATGGCTTATTAATAGCATTTTAGGAAACTTGTCAGAGGTTTCTTTAACTTGCAAATTCTCCCTCAGAGAGAGGTTCTCTGGTACCAGGTGGAAGCAGAGGAGACAGGCTGAGCATCAGGAAAGCAAGTCAAAGGGTGCTGTTTACTGCTGCTGCGTTGCCCTAGGGGAGCATTGCTTTGAGTTTACAAATTTATATGAAGGCACAGTCAGGTAAATCAGGTGGAAATGACTCCATGGAGACCACTGGAGAACAACTCACACAAAGAAGAACTCTTCAATACTGTACAGTACTAATTGTAAATTATTAGCTAGAGCAAATTGTTGACTTAAAGGCCTCTATTAGGTAACAGGTCAGTTCTAGTTATTGAATGTATTGTGGAAGTATCAACCGCATTTGAAAAATGACTGTCCCACTGGGCAGAACTATCAATCAGGAAGTCCCTCTGAGGTTATCTGCATAACTGACCGCCTCCCTGGTCACCCCCGTCGCCCTCCTCCTGTCACGGCCTTCTCTTTCACAGTGCATTCTCTCTGTGCTCTGTGTCACCTTCCTCAACGTGCCAGCTGCTTGACACCCCCAGGCTTTACGTTTACTTTTCTTTCTGCCTTAAACACCCTTCCCTTTATTTCTTTGCCTGGACAAGTATTTTCACAAGTTGGCTCAAGGGTCATAACCACGATGTCTCTCCTAACCGCCCGGCCATGTAGCCGCATCTCCCCTGCCCACTGCTTGCTGAGTCGTCACCCTGCATGATCTTTGGTCTTCCTGCTAGACAGAGAACCAAGGAAGATGCAGTTTTTAGAGCAATTCTGTTCAGTGTACTCTGCATTTTGAGGTTGGTGTTTCGTGTTTATTGCATTGAACTGAATGAAAAAATGAAAGAACTCAGTCTCATCAGAAGTTTAGGGCTACTCTTCTAAAGGACAAGAGGAGTATTCCCTTTCACTTCACCTAGTGGTGGGCCTGGTGTGTGCAGGTTTGCTTTCAGTACAAATGCTAGCTCCTGTTCCTGGGAGTGGTAGCTTGGAGGAGGGTGCAGTTCTCAGACATGACCACAAGGTGCTGCTCTGATGGCACACTTACCAGTACCTACGCCCCTGCCAAAGATAAACTTGACGTGGCCTGGATGTGGCCTGAGTGTGACCAATAAATCTGGGAAAGTGGCAGCCCCACCCAGGACAAGCAGGAGATCTCATTAAATGGAGCTTGTTTTCCTGTTGGACGAGCAACTCAAAGAAGACATATGTGAATAATAGTGAAATGTGTGCAAGATACTGATGGCTTATTCTTTGGTACAGTTTGAACACTTCTGAAATTGAAGGCGAAAACGAGTTCATAAAAAGTAGTGCAAAAAAGGTATGTAGGAGCGTTCTCTCTTCTACTTTAATTAGTGAGATATTTCATATCCTACTTAGTTGGGGGTGCAAATAGAGAAAATGTTTTATGAAATATTTCCAATCCTGTTTAGAGTGGATGCAGACAGAAAAAGTTCTATAGCAGCATTTTTCATAGAGTATTATGTTTTAGAAGGTGCTTTTTCAAAGTAAAAAGTGAAGTATTTTCTATCTGAAGTGTTTTTCATTACCTTGTCAATTTTCACATCCGTGTCATGTGTTTAGGTTGCGATTTACAAAGGCAGACTGATTGGGTTATTTATTTGGAGCTTTCTTTCATCGAGGTTTCGTGTCCTACCCACTAATCATATTGTTATCCCCCTGATACGTTCCCTCTGGAAGTTTAGAAGTGACAGGTGTGGACTTTATGGTTAGCTACTACCACGATAAGAATGATAAGCATTTGCATTTTCTAAACCAGTGATGCTGTTTTCTCGACGTAGCCACGAAGAAAACCCAAGCCCATTAGTGATGACTCTGAGAGTTGTAACGAAAGGGACGTGATCGTGGAAGGTACACCAGCAGAGAGAGCAAGGAGCCAGCGGCGCGACGCTGCATCGTCCTCAGAACTCTCAGCGGCATTGGCTGAGTTCGGCACTTCTGAAATGACAGGACCTCTAAGTGCTCAGTCCTCTGTTGAAAAAGAGTCCCTGGCAACCAAAGGTCAACTGGTAAGAGAGGGACCGCCATCCCCTTGGCAAGAAAAAGTCGATTGAAAAATGTGTAGTGGGAAAATAAAACATTTTTTATCTCTCCTCCAGTTTTTTTTAAAGAGACTTTTTAGTATCTTATAAAAATAGTTTTATTTATTTATTTATTAAATAAATAGTTTTATTTATCAGGTATGGAAAGGAAGATAAATATTCTATAATTCTCCCATCCATGTACTGACCAGGCCCGACCCTGCTTAGCTTCTGGGATCAGACGGGATCGGGCACATGCGGGGTGGTGTGGCCGTGGACCAAACAGTCCTACAATTCTGTCACCCCATTCGGTCTGCAGTCCTTTCACTGAGCTTTTCTCATCCTCAGTGGGACCTTGTTCTTGTCCTCTAGTGTTCCAGGATATCATTGCAGGACTGCATGACACCGCATTCCTGTTAGTGCCATGGCCAGTTCCTCTCTCACTCGTGAGTGGTGGCGTGTAAACAGATTTAAAGTGCTTTGATGAATCTCCAGCCAAATCTTCGTGTGCGTCCTTGACCATTCAGGGGGGAAAAATGCTACAGTAAGATTTCTGGGTCGTGTGTGTTCTATTATAAGATTCTTGACATATACTGTCAATCGAGTCTTAATATGTCTTTGTCAGCACCTTGATTTTGGCCCTTTGAAACTGATTTTGGACTTCTGACCCCCAGAACTGTTGGAGAATACATTTCTGTTCTTTTAAGGCATCAAGTTGTGGTAATTTATCCCAGTAGCCTCAAGAAAGTAAAACACTACTCGAGGACTTTTTAGTTATGTGGTTTTTAGTTCTGCAGTTTCCTTTTCTTTTTTTCCATTTTTATTTCTTAGTATAGTTTCTACTGAGACTCTCTATCTGTTTGATCATTAAGACCATCACTTCCTTTACTTCTTGGGACATATTTGTGATAGCTGCACTAAGTCTTTGTTTTCTAAGTCAGCTAACTGGGCTACCTCAGGGTCAGTTTAATTTTCTGTTGACTACGGGTCACATTTTTTGTGTAACATTTTAACTCTAGTACTTTCTAGTTGTGTGTCGGACATTGTTGTTGATAGGTTGTTGTGACTCTGAATTCTGTTAATGTCCTCTGAATAATGTTGACTTTTATTTTCATAGGTAGCTTGGTTGCTGGCGCATCATTTTTAACTTCTGGAGGCTTGGCTTTACTCTTTGTTAGGTCAGCCTTTGAAAGGCCTAACGTGTTTTCCAAGTGTCTAACTCAGTGGACTCACTTTCTGTATTAGTTTTCAGTTGCTGCATAACAAATGACCACAAACTGTGTGACTTAAAACAACATACACTTAAATCTCACTGTTTCTGTAGGTCACAAGTCCAGCTCACCTTAGCTCAGGGGTTCACAAGGGTGAAATCTCATCTGAGACTCAAGGTCTCGTCCAAGATTATTGAGGTTTTTCGTAGAATTCAGTTCCTTGCCATGGCAGGCCTGAGGTTCTTCCTGGTCTTAGCACATGGAGCCTGTGGGTTGCTCCTAGTCGTGTGGCCCCTGTACGTTAAAGCCAGCGGGAGAATCTCTCCCCACGGGTGACAGTGGAGATGCAGTGTAACCTTATCGAGGGAGCCATTATCCCCACGTTCACGGGTGCCACCCAAACTCCAGTGGGGGATGTCTCATAAGTCACTGGGGTCATGTCAGGGTTCTGTACCAGGACGCAGGTCTCTCCCTGATGGCCCTGGTCAGAGGCGGGTTTTAGGCTGTGCGGTGGGTCTTCAGTGGCCTTTGCTGGGGGCAGTGTTCCGCAGTCCCTTCCATCACTCACTGCCCACCTTAAGAAGCCTTTTCAGATATTTCTTCTCCCATATACTGCATCACTATTTGTGTACTTGGGCCCTTTGGAGGTTTACAAACCAGTGTAATGTCTCAGGTTTCGGTTTTGGGGTTTTTGTGCCTCCCCCACGCCCCGCGCAGGGACTCAGTTTTGGCCCCCTTGGGAACAGTGCCACCCTGCTAGAGAGTGGGGCTCTCACTGTGCACACCTGCAGCACAGCGGGATGCACAGGTGTTCACTCATTCCAACGCGGTCTGTGCACTCACTGCATCTGGTTTCCCCGGCATTGCTTGTCCTCTCTTGCCTGTGTGACGTCCCGAGTCCCATGCCAGCTGCCTTCCAGGCAGCTTTCTGTGGTCTCACTGTGCACACATGGACTTCCGGAGAACCGGAGTTCTCCGTCCCCTCGGCAGCCAGTTCCAGGTGCTGCACCGCCGCCGCACTCTGATTTCTGCCTCCGCGGCGCCCTGGGGCCTGCTGGGACCCAGTGTGCTATGCAGCCACCAGGAGTTGCACCCCGGCCTGGGGGTGGGGTGAGAAGGGGGGCATGCGCAGGCCCCACTGAGTCTCCTCATTTGTTTCTGCACCTTGTCCAGCGCCTAAATAAAATCACCGGGCCCCGCCCCCATTTTATGGTTATTTACGGCAAGAAGCTGTTACTTACCATGATTTGGACTCCACACAAGGTCTTAATGATAAAAGTTTGACTTCCTCCAAGGCAACCTTCGGGACAAACCAGCTGGAAGGTGTTTTTCGGGATGTGGGGGAACAGTTTACTTTTTTCAGTGTTTCCTTGTATCGATTAAGATAATTTATAGAATTAACTATATAATATATTACGTTAGAAGTAAATAAGAATCATAGCTAAAATAGTAACTGCCCGTGTTTGATAACACTGTCAATCATTCTAAGAAAAACTTACGGCTTCTGTGGCCCTGCTTTCCAGCAGTTGTCATCAGCTTGGCTCAGGTAAGTTCTTAGAAAAACCCACTCCTACCCCAAAAGAAAAACTTTTTGCTGTTTTTTGTTTTTTTTTTTAAGAAAACTCAGAAAAAGGAGATGTTTCATGGCAAAAGAAAGAAACCAAGACATGAAGCTGTAGACTCAGGTACGGAGTGGTACGTTATGCCTTCACAGTCATTCAAGGGTTTTGTTTAAAAATTCTTACTTCATTAAAGAAGTAAACTTTAATTATGTGAAACTGCTGCTTTAAAAAGTTAAAACATGTGACTTAGGAGTAACTGTTTTCTGAGTATCTATCGTGAAAAGTTTTAATGTACAACAAAGGTAAAAGAATTTTGCAGTGTATTTATATACTCCCTAGATAATGGATATTAACACATCCATTAATGTGTTTTCATACATCATGTAGTATGTAACCTTTTCTATAAGACTTCTTTCATTTAGTATACCGTTTCTCAGATTCGTCCATGTTCTTTGGTATTTATTGACCCAAAAGTTTATTGCAAAATCTTCCAGAGGAAAATAAAGCATTTTCTCTTTAAATTCTCTTAAAGGAGAAGTTATATATTTTTCTTGGTATTAAAAAAAGTTTATTTTAGAAAATTTAGAAAGTATGGAAAGGAAGAGAAAGTTACCTGTAATTCCATCACCCCAAAATAACTACCATGGTTTTTGTCTCCCCTTTTTAATCCTTTTACTGAGCTTTTCTCACCCAAAAAGGGACCATATCCTTGTCTTACCATATTTTACCACATCCTAAGTATTCTCCAATACCATTTTAGAAGATGCTTTGTTCAAGAATATTCTGTAGTTCATCTTTTACTATATTATGTAACTAGGTCCACTCTGAGAAATCTTCCTGTGTTCCAGAAGTGACCTGTTAGATTAAAATAGAAAGTGTGCTTAACAAAGGAGAGCTGGTACCTAGCGTCAGACAGCCGAGGAGAGGACTGTGAGGGCCGCGGTGCCCCGGGCCGTCTTCCTGACGGGCGCAGTGCGTGTGTCTCCTCCCACGTGCTGCTTCAGTGGTAGCTCTTTCCATCCATTTGGCAGGGTGGGTTTTGCTGTAGGGCTTGCAGAACCTGGACTAGAGTCACATCATTGATCATCAGTCTGTTAATTACATCTGCTTGTCTTGCTGTTCTAGATGTTTCTGACTGTGCACATATTTGGTGTCTGAAAGGAAGGAGAAGCAGTGACATCATGGAGCTAGATGTTGTTTTGTCAGCATTTGAGAAAACCATTCCAGAGTACACGTAAGTCGTAATGCGATGCGTGCACTAAGAAATGTCCCCCGAAGCACCCCTTTTGCTCCCCTCGCGGCTTCGTATATGTAGTGTTCTCATTACTCAGTTTACACGTTTACATTCCCTTTATAGTTTTCTTCAATCCTGTGAATTACGTAGTACCGTGTCTTTGTATGTTCAAATATGTGACTTTTTAATGTGTTTTTTTATTTTTACCTTCCATCTCAAATACGTTGTCAAACTTCATGGACAGGCAATATCTGGCTTTTGAAACTCTGAGACGTTCTCTAACCTGGTACATGAACTAGGGGAACTAACTGGTGGGTCCGTGTGGAATCGGTAATTGCTGGATCCCCGCAGAATCAGCAGTTCGTCCCGGTACTTCCGTCAGTTTGTGCTGCATCTATTTAAAGACTTTTACTAGGGCATCGTGCTTAACACTGCCGCCTCGACTGAGCATTTGTCTTTCCCGGCGGCCCTCTCCGTCCTTACAGTGGATTTCTGCCTTAAAAACTAGTTTATCTGATGCTAACATAGCGTCACTGGGATTCTTTTGCTAGCAGTTGCTGGATTGAATATTCTTTTACCTCCAACCTTTGTCTGATCTTAAGCTTTCTTATAAAATTTTTTAAATTAAACGTGTGTGCCTGGGGTTCAGCTGTTGACTTTAGGCCATTTACACTTTATTGTAATTATCAGTGTGTTTGGAAGAATGGGTTGATAAGGTTTTTTTTACTTCTTTTAACTTTTGATGCTTTTAATCTTTTCTTGCTTTTTTAAAAAATAAAATTTATAATTCCCGTCTAAGATGAGAACTTCGGGAAGGTCTCTGATCTCTCGATCTTCCCTCCCTTTCACCACCCTGAGCCCTGGGTGCCTATCATCCTGGAGACTTTCGACTCTGGACGGAGGCAGACAGATTTCTCTGTTCTGAGACAGCAGCAGTCTTTACGACGGTGTGTATTTGACACCCTTTGCCTCATACGTTTCTTACCACATCCCATGGATACGTCTCTTCTCTCTTTCAAAGGCATTAAACACCACTTCTCAGTGTGGCTATTTGTGGAAAATGTCTAGATCTTTCTGGTTATTTTGATCATGACTTTGGATGTGAAGGTTAGCTGGACACCCCAGGTTATAAATCATTTCCTTAACTATTTGCAGTCACTACTTGTCTTATTTTTCATCTGGTGTTGATGTGGAGAATGTGACGTCTAGTTCTGTTCCTTAACGTTCTGCCTGCTCTTTCTGAGCCTTTACCATGTTTTGTCTTCAATATTCTTAAATTTCCCTGTTGTGGTTCTGACCTTTTCAATCTAAGGTTAGTCTTTAATTATCAAAATTAAAAATACTTTTGGCCCTCTAACTTTAAAAACTTTCTATACCATTGTCCTTTGCTACATTCTTCTCGATTTCCTCAATCTAGATATTGGACGTTTGCTCACTTATTTCTCGGATGTGTCCATTCTGCCACTTACTCCACCTGTTGAGTTCTTCACTGAGCTGTTGTACCTTTTGTGTATAGTATTTCTGGTTGGGCCTCTCTTGTGCCTTAAATTCATGTTTTCTGTTGGTAATATCTTTAGAATAAGTATTAGGCTCATTTACAAGAACTGCATTATCTCCTGTGCAATACCTGCTTCTCATAGAGTTTCCAACCTCGTGGACTGTGTCCCCCCAGTGTCTGGTCACTGCACACTGTGCACTCATGTCCCCAGGCATCGGCTCCCCTGGTGGCCCGTGTGTCAGGGAAGGCCGAACCTCAATTCCTGTTGGCACCCCGGAGCACAAGGGACAGCCCTGGATAAGCCGTCCTCAGGTGGGGAGTCTCAGCCACTCATTCCAGCGGGCGACCTGTAGGTCAGGATCCCACGGTTGCTCTCCAGCGATAAGAGGCTTTAAGAGCAGATACACTTTTTAGATTGCCATTCTCCAGCCCTGGGTTTCGGCAGGTGAGGGAAGGGGGAACAACTGCCCGGAGTTGGTCAGTGTCCCTGTTTTTCTCCGAGCCTCCCAAACACAGCCCAGGTTTGACTTTTGAGGACCCAGGGACAGAGCCCCGAGTTGCTGCAGCTGCTGGGAAACACGGTGGGAGGGAACCGGCGATGGGGGAGGAGCAGGAGCTTCCCACCCTTACCAGTCCCTTTCCTGTCCTGGGCTACAGCCACCACCCTCACACCCCATCACCTGCTCTGCAAACCTCTCCCCTCAGCGCAGGCCTTCCCACAGCTTCCTCCGATCTGCGCTCCCGAGGATGGCCTTGGGTAAAGGAGCCAGCCTGTCCTGCTAAGTCCTCTTCGTCATTGTGGGAGATGTCTGTCCTAGTCTCCTGTATGGCACGTTGCAGAGCCAGTTTGCCATTAAAACCCGTGCAGAGTTCTCAGCGTCGCCTAGACCAGCATGACCATGTTGCCCTTTTCCCACTTGTCAGTCTGTGCAGGAGGACAAGACCGCTGCTTTCCTAGCGAAAGTGGCCTTATCTTCCTTTTAGCACAGTAAATTCTTGATATGAGAAGTGATTTAGGAAAAAGAAATGACCTAGGTGTAATATTTTCATCAGACTCCTTAAAATTATACCGTACACTGGTGTTCTGGTCATACCAAGTACATCTGGCAGGATCACGGGCTCTCTTCTGGGCGGAGCGTCACTCCTTCAGAGTCAAGTTAGCCGTTTGAGGGTCTGCTCTTTTTGATGTCTGTGCCTGGCGCTCACTCCTGAATAGTCTTTGTTAGCAGACTCACCGACTGTAACCGACTGTGTAAAAGTAAGAAGGTATGCCATGGAGTGCGAACATTACAACCTTGGAACATTCTAAAACCAATTCAATCAGTTATCTGTGGGGAAGTGACCGGATTTTTAAGGCACTAGAATTTGAGAGCTGCGTCTGTAGTTGGCAGAATCCACTAATTTCTCATCTATAAGCCATGCAGAAAGTGCTGATCAGTTTTCCTCATTTTTTTAACATCTCAAAATCATGATTGTATATTTAAATTAGAAATACGTTTTTTAAAAGAGGGCTGATGGATTTTTTTAATTGTGATGAACTACATAGTCTGTAATTTACATCTTAACTGTTTTTGAGTACAAACTCAGTAATGTGAAGTATATTCTCATTGTTGTGTGATGATAAATCTCTCCCCCGTGTGGCTTTGCGCCCTGTCGAAGGTGTCCGGACCATATAGGTGAGGGCTCGTTTCTGGGTTCTCTGTGCTGTTCCGTGGGTGCAGATGTCTGTCTGGCTTGAGGTCTGCACAAAGTTGAAGGATTGCTATAGCTTTGTGATGTTTTGTGCTTGGAACTGTGAGGACTCAGCTTTGGTTTGCTTTCTCAAGACCGGTTATGGCCACCTGGGGTCCTTTGTTATTCCCTAAGAAGTTTAGAATGGTTTTGTTTGTTTCTGCAAAGTGCTCTTTGGAATTTGGTAGGGATTGCATTAAGTCTCTATATTGCTTTGGGTGGTAAGGACGTTTAAATAGTTTTAAGCCTCTGGTCAATGAGCATGGGATTTTTTTTTTTTTAATTTGTATCTTTAACAGCTTTTATAGTCCTCAGTATATAAATATCTCACCTCCTTGGTTAAGTTTATTCCTAAGTATTTCATTCTTTTGATGCTACTATAAAGGGGGTTTTTTATTTACTTTCTGGATTGTTCATTGTTAGCACATAGAAAGTCAACTGATTTTGCATCCTTCAACTTTGCTGGATTTGTTCACTGGTTCTAAGTTTTCTTGTGTGTGGAACCTTTGGGTTTTCTACCTACAAGATCCTGTTATCTGTGGACAGGGGTTTCACTGCTTTCTGACTTATTTTTTCCTCACCTGATCGCTTGCCAGCGCTGTGGCGAGGAGGACAGCATGAGAAGCGTCCTGCCCTGTCCCCAGTCTGAGCGCAGTGCTCTCAGGTTTTCACCGCTGAGCGTGGGGTCAGCCGGGGGCTTTTCCTCGCATTGACATGGTTTCCTCCGATCCCGTTTTATTGGGAGTTTTTATTGTGAATGGGCATCGGGTTTTGTCGAATGCTTTTTCCGCATTGAGATAATCACGTAGCTTCTGCCCTTCATTTTGCTACTGTGCTGTGTGACGGGGAAGGTGTTCCAGATGTTCGGCTCCCCTGCACTGCAGATGTAAATTCCACTTGGTCAGGATGCATGTAATCCCTTCCAGGAGTTAAGTTCTGTCCCCTGGTATTTTGCTGAAGGGTTTCCATCAGTAACCATCGAGGATACTGGTCTCTAGTTTTCTTTGCTTGTGGTATTTTTTGTCTGATCTCGGTATCAGAGTAATACTGGCCTCATAAAATGAGTTCGCAAGTGTTCCCTCATCTTCAGTATTGAAAGCGTTTGAGAAGGACTGGTGTTTGTTCTTCTTTAAATGTTTGGTAGAATTCTCCCTTGAAGCTGTCTGGCCCTGGGATCTCTGACAGGTAGTTTTTGATGACTGATTCAATATCTTTACTAGCTGTAGGTTTATTCAGTTTGGTTTTTTGGGGGGTTTTTTCTTCACGATGTATTCTTGTTAGTTTCTAGGTTTCCGGAAACTTACGCATTTCTCCTGGGTTACCCAGTCTGGTGGCATGTCATTGTCCCCGCAGGCTACAGTGACCCTCTCTATTTCTGCAGGTTTTCTACGTTTCTCATTTCGAGTCTTTTTCCTCAGTCCATCTCAGGACGCGTCAATTTTTTTTTTCCAGTAAAACAACTTAGTTTTATTTTCCCTATTTTTCTATTGTTTTGTTTATTTCTGCTGTAATCTTATTGTTCCTCCCCTCTTCTGACTTTGGGTTTACCTTGCTCTTTTTGTAGTTCCCAGGGTTCAGCTGGGGTTTTGGTCTGAGGTCTTGCTGAGGTCAGCACGTCCCTCCCGGGGCTGCTGTCCCCGATCCCCTCTGTGTGGACGTGTTGCTTTTGTCTCCATTGGTGTCGAGGTTTTTTCCAATTTCCCTTGTTATTTCCTTGATCCATTGATCATTCGCGAGTATGTTAATTTCCACATTTTTCAGTTTTCCAGTTATCTTTTGTTAATGACTTCTAGTTTTACTCCGTCATGGACTGAAAAGACACTTGGCATGATTTAATCTTATTAAATTGGTTGAGACTTATTTTTGTCACCTAGCATTAATACGACACAGGCAGTGCCCTGCTGTGCTTCAGGAGTGTGCGCATGTGCACTCTGCTGTCACTGGGGGAGGGCTTTCTACAGGGATACAGTGTCGTTCAAGTCCTCAGGCTTCCTATGGAGCCTCCGTATGGTTGCTCTGTCCTCACTGAAAGTGTCTCGCTGTGGCTGTTGGGGGTTTTGAACGTGTCTGGCATACTGCAGCTTCCTAAGTGGATTTGGGAATTCTCATAAAGGCTTTTTGGGCCTTACATAGTTAAGGCCCTGGCGGGGGATGAGGTCTGGGACTTCCGCTTTCACCATCTTGCTGATGTTGCTAGAAAATACCTCTTTTTTTTTTCTTTTAAAGATTTTATTTATTTTTAGAAGGGAAGGAGAAAGAGAGGGAGAGAAACATCAACATGTGGTTGCTTCTCATGAGCCCCCTCCTGGGGACCTGGCCTGCAGCCCAGGCATGTGTCCTGACTGGGAATCGAACTGGTGGCCCTGCCTTTGGTTTGCAGGTCGGTGCTCAGTCCTCTGAGCCACACCAACCAGGGCTCGAAATACCTCTTTAACACCACGCTCAGGATGAGCACAGAGACCCGCACTGAAGAATGCAGGCCTTTTGTGTACATTCCCAGCCTCTGAAGGAGGACAAGACCCCTCAGAGCGCACTGCCCTGCGGAGGCAGAGTGTCTGCTGCTGTCCCTGCGCACGGCCGCTTGCCATGGGGACTGGGACGCGGGCCCTCTTCTCCCTTGTCACAGGGCCCCAGGACACTCTCTTTTTGGGGTCAGCGGGATAGTTTTTGAAGGACTGGACAGCTGGCTTTTGGCTACTTGTTAGTGCAAACGTGTTGCACAGTTATTTCTCCAGTTGTCAGCAGGCGGGAAGGCCGGGCTGAAGTCTGCGGGGCAGTGGGTCAGGGCAGGAGGCTGGGTTGGCGGGGCACTTCCACGTCGCTTGGTGTCACCTGTGGATGTGGCCAGCATCCGGGAGATTAGCCGACCCCACACCCGAGGGTTTAGGGGAAAATGTCTCCCGTTCTTTGTGTATTACTGGCACATATCCTTTTCTCTAACCCTGAGAAAGGGCTGCAGCTGACCGTGCCGTCTTAGGGGCTTGAACACTGTGTGCGTAACTGTGTGTCGATGTGCTAAGCAACTGAAACACCTTTCACAGTCCAGTTTTTGATACTTTTATCTTTTTTTTTAATTCTGTTACAGACAAAATATAGAATCTAAAATTTGCAAGGAAGCGATCAACAAATTTCATTCTAGTCTGAAAGAAGAACTCATCAAAACAGTAAGTTCACTGACACAGACTTACTGGTCTGGATCTTTTTTTACTAGTCCTGAGGAGCACACAGTTATCTTAGAAAGATTGCGTTTGCTGCAATGTGGTCAAGAACTCATTAACATTGCTCGTGTTGTGAAATAAATGTGAAATAATGTAAGCTAATAAGCATTTAATTTTGGAAAATGCCATGTGAATACTTCTTTGTTTTGTGTAGCTTACTGAAGTCCAGAAGTTGAAAACTCTGAAAAGGAAGAACGTTAAGGTAAATCACTTGTGACTAACGTATGTGGTCGTGTCGAAGACTTAAGACTGGACTCTGGGTTTTCTGATCTTCAGAGTGTGGAAGATTTCTATCCTCTTAGGCAGGCTGTTACTTGGCTGATCTTGTGGTTGAGTACTGTTAATGCACACTGGGGAATGGGGATCCTGGTCAGCCTAGAAAAGGCTGTAAAGCCCAAAATGGATTGGTATTGAGTAATGCATATTCATCACTTTTGTACATATCAGAAAAGCAAAGTCTTTAGAATGAAGAGCTGTCCCATGTCCTGGGTCAAAGGACAGCTTGGGAAGAATATTGGACTAAGGGTCAGGAGACCTCTTTCCTTGTCCTGCTGCGTGACTGGTGAACCACCTTTGTGAAAACAACACCAGCAGGTGTGCTGCAGAGAAGCCAGGAAACACCAGGCCTGGCTGTTTATGGTTGACCAGGTGACCCAGACGAGGGTCTAGCCCAACACGTGTGTGAATCCGGCGGTGGAAGAGCAGCTTCCCCTCTACATTAGTAACTGAAATGGATTGGAAACACACACGGTTTCCTGACAGTGATTACAAACCTTTGCTGGTGTTTTTATCCTTCAGTTTTAATCTCTCGTTGGTCAACTCTGCATTGCTTGTAAGCAAATGGGAATAGTCTGGACGTCCAGCATTGGAGTGTTACACTGTCACTAACAGTGATGGCTGAGATACTGAAATTTACTACACTGAAATGTTCCTTCTAAAACTGGAGCCTGCTAACCCATTCAAACTTGCCTATTGTACCTAGATGAAATCTGGGAGAGTAAAATTCTTTAATTCTCAGCAGAGACCTGGCCCCACTTCTTGCAAGTCCTGGAGTAAACTGCCCCGCTGCTCTGTCCGTCAGAGCAGGTGCGGCGCCGCAGTGGCACACTGTTCGTACGAACACCCGTCTCCCCACGGGACCCAAGTCCCACGATGGGGAGAGTGGGCTCTGTCTCATTTCCCACTGTACTCCCAAACACCTGGCACAGTGTGCGCCAAGTACTCCAACGTTTATGAAATCATTTTAACAAAGAAATTGTTGTTACTTAGATGACTTCAGATGCTGAAAAGAAAAGGCAGCGTTTGATTGAAGTCCAGAACGAACTGCTTTGGTAAGACAGTACCGAGCTCCTCTTTGGGAACCTACCCAGGAGAGCAAGGGCGTGTCACCTGGGGCCGGTAAAACCTGCTGCTGTCCCATTAAAATCCCTTTGGTTTTTTTGGAGCTTGGAAGCTGGCGAAGGCAGGTTGCGCTGCAGGGTGAAGTTTTTAGCAAAGAAAATTCAGCGCTGCTCTATCCTCCGGTCTCTCACTCTGGCCTGAGACGCAGCCTAATCAGTGATGCAATGCGTAGATTTGGGAACTGGGTGACCTGGGGTGTGAGTCCAGGCTCCACCACTTACTGGCCGGGCAGCCTCGGGCAGGTTATTCAGCCTCCCAGGACCTTGGTGCCTTCCCGTGTCAGTAGTCAGAACGCCTCACAGGGCGCTGTGAAGACTCAGTGTGAGCAGGTCCACGGTTTTGTTAACCTGTCCACTGAAACACACCTGGGTGTGGCGCTCGTGCAAACTCAGTCCCCGGCTCTGGGAACGGAGCCACTGAGAGAGTTTTCCAAAGGTCATCGCAGGGTTTCCACGCAGACGCTGGGCTAGTTTTCCTCCCACTGGTCTTATTGGACCTTGGAAATGGACCCAGTGTTGAGAAGAGGAAGGAGCAAGGGGAAGGCTTTTCTTTTGTGGTTTTACTGTTGCCCATTCCTGCCCGAGGCTATAAAATGTCACCCAGGTCCTGCTGTGATGCAGTAGCTCCCGAGGCCTGTTTTTTCTAACTCCATTTGCTGCACTAAAATACTCAGTCTCTGCATACACTGTGGGCTGTTACACTTCATTATGTGTCATGCATTTTTAGGAAAATGATTCTTTTGTTTTAGGTTAGAACCGCAGCTGAAACAGCTACAGATAAAATATGATGAACTTAAGGAGAGAAAGTCTTCCCTCAGGAATGCAGCCCATTTCTTATCTAATTTAAAACAGCTTCATCAAGATTATTCGGAAGTTCGAGAGCGAGAACCGCACGTAAAGGAAACGGTGAGTCCGGTTTTCACGCCCCACCGTGCCTCAGGAGGGGCAGGGCCGTGGCGGCCGGTGCCCGGCTTTGAGGAGAGGACTGGAGGCGCAGCGTCACGGTCCACCCCAACCAGTGGGCTCGCTCACACCGGGCAAAGTTCCGACAGCGCCACTCCTTTAGCTGTAAGTAGGGCAGAGGAGCAGAGAAGACCCCGCGGCAGGAACGGGGCCTCGCTGCGGGGGTGCATCTTTCTGCACAAGCGTCAGGGCAACGACTGGGCTGCAGGGCGGTGGTCACGGACAGACACCAGCCACGCTCCAAAGACCACCCTCTTGCTCCGTTCAGGCTAGTAGTTGCCTTTTTATCTGAAAAAGTCGTCATTATCCCTAAAAGGGCAGGCATGACGTTGGGAGTTGAGAAACATAAAAAGGAAAGATGGTAGGAGAAAGTGTGGTATATCATTAAATTAAATTTTATAGTTGCTTCAGGATTATTGCTGCAGATGTTGCTACAGTTATGAGAGCCAGCTCAGACTAATAGAGATGTTTGTTGGTGAAAAAAATTGTATCTTTGTATCACATATTTCATGAACATACTTGTATTCTTCACTTCTCAATTCAGTTTTAGGGTTTTGACACTGGTCTAAAAGTTAATTCTCCTGAGCCTAAGTTTTTTTTTTATAGATTGGAGGTCTGGAAATAGTGTTTTTCTGTTTTCTCCTGGGACAATATCCAGCTAGTGTAAAGCTTACTGCGTGGAGCTGGAGCTTTAGCTACCAAACCTGAAGTCGGCGGAACCTGACATGCAGGCACTGCCTGTTTGTTGCGGTGCGCTCACCGCACTAACCACTCACGCTCTGTGTGCCCGGTGCTGCCTCCGTGCTTCTGTCGTACGGAGTATTCAGATATTTGAGTGTATGTCTCCCCTCTTTTCCTGAACTAGACATCTAGACCCAGATGTTAGTTCTTCCCCTCACCCCCCCGAGAGCAGGTGCCCTTGGTAGCTTGAATACCTTCAAGTCCCAAATAAGGAACTAAAGTCCACAGTGATATGATAGGTGTCTTCTAGAAAGCATTCCATTAGTATGGGCCTGGTATAGGCTACGGCTTTTCTGCTCAAGTTTCATTTCTAAGAAAACCACATTAAACAAACTCATAACTATAGAATTCAGTAAGGGGAATTTAGTCACTCTCCCTTAGATAGAATTTATAACATGAAGTTTGGCTTTGTTAATTATTTTAAAGTTATTAGCTGGGTTTTGTTTTCTATTTTATGTTGGCTTTGTATTCTGATTTTGTCTTTCATCATTAAGAAATTTGGATCGGCAATGTTAAGACATTTAACTGACCTTCCACTAAGTAATTTCTCTAAATGATGCTTTTTTGCCTCATGAACTCTTCTGGGCCCGGTGTGCTCCTGCCATCCATTCCTGCAGTAATAGCAACTCCGCATCACAGCTTTCTGTTTAAAAGAGGCGTGAGGTCGAGCAGAGTTGCTGAGCCGGGTTCTGATCTGCACCAGGAGTGAATTTCTGTGAGTTTCAGGTAACTCACAGGCCACAGCTCTTGGAACCAGCTGGTGTCCTGGGATGAGGTCATCAAGCCTTGCGGAGCAGTTCTCTCGAAACCTTATTTATCATTTATGTCCTGCGGAAGTGGGTTGAAACCAAATTAATGCCAGTTCACAAAAGGAGAGGAGGAAGAGTTAGTGGAAAGCTGTTTTCAAATTGGCGTTTAGTCATAACACTGAGCTCTGTGCAACAAATAGGGTTATAACAGTTCTTGGTATTTTTTAAAAATCTAAATACTTTTTTTCTTCAATAGTATGACTCATCCAGCCTTCCAGCTCTGTTGTTCAAAGGAAGAGCCCTTCTCGGTGCTCAGAACCACCTGCAGAATATCAACTATCAGTTAGAGAGGCTCCTGGACCAGCAGTGAGCCCAACCTACTGAACGGCGCCCGCGTGAAGACACGCCCCGCACCACGGCCTGCCGCCTCCTGAAACTGCTTCTTGTTAGAGCGACTTTCTCGGACACATGTCACAGAGCAGACTTGTTGAACTGTTCCGGTTGGTGTCTTGAGTAATGAGTTGAAATGTCGACTCCTAATCCTAATTAGCCATAGACATAGACTTTTAATTAACCTACAAATAAATATGCATAAGCTGATGTGAATACAGACTAACTTTGGTTAATCAGTAAAGAGATTTGTACTGAATTTAAGAACACTGAAGCTAATTTTTGATAAGTGACTTAAGTAGAAAGCAAAATGATAAAACTTAATTTTTATCAACAAATTTAACAATGAGTTACTATAATTTACAATAAGTTACTATAATTTAATGTTTTTAAAATCTACCTTCAGACAAACCTACGGCCTGGTTGTGGTTATGCATGTCTCCGCAGTTAGTCAGCTGTCCTTGTAGACTTCTACGAGTAGTTCATCAGGAATCTCCTCCCCTCCACTGTTACCATCAAGATGACTGTTCTCCGCAGCTTCTGCTAATTCAGCATCTTCGGTAGCTTCCAGAAAACAAGTGTCATCAATGCCATCATCCCAGTCAGCATCAGAAAATTCAGTTTTTGACGACACACTAGATGGTGGCTTTTGAGGACTCTTGGTTTTGTTATTCATTGTTTCGTCTGTTGTAAACTCTTCTTCCTTTAGTTCCAAAGAGGAAGGGAAAGGAGGGTGGAATGGAAGAAAATACTAGTTATTCAGTCACACTGTGATGATTTCACCACAGCAAACTTGGTGATGAGCACCCAGTCGGTGGTGGTGGGACAGTGGCCCAGAGTGACAGCTGTCACAACCAGTGCGTGTCTGTGCCGGAGGGGGAGAGAGACCAGTGTGGCCACGTGCTAACAAGTGGCCACTCCGGTGAAAGGAGTTCGAGAGAGCTCCTGTTCTTGTGCATTTCTGCACATTACACATTTTTTTAAGTAAAATTGTTTAAAAACTAAGATGATCAGTGCAATGGAAAAGCAGGCAAGTAACATCAGTACTTTAAAGTACTGAAAACAAAACAAAAAAAACATTAAAACTGATAGGTACACTGATGTTCATTAAACTGTTCTTTTAAAATTTTTTAATAAAAAACCAAAGCGAATTGTACAGTGGTGGTGATACCAAAGTGCTTTAACTTGATAAGCAGAAAAGACCTTAAAAGCCACTGAAACCACAAACGTGCATTAAAGTAACTCCAGATGAATGAGGACGACGTTCTTCTCCCTCCCAGAGGCAAAAGTTTGTTTTAAAACACTTTTTATCCTGGCAGTTTATCAGAGAATCTGCCTACCAGCTATATTATGTCCACCTTCTAGAGACCAAAAATGAGATTTCTGCATTTCTATCTTGAATGTATGAGATTTTTCAGGGGACTTTTTTAAAGAAATCAAACTGAATAGGTACCAGACCATTATCTGCACTGTGAATCCAGCACTCAGCTGCGACCGGGCGGCTTCCACTCTGACCACACACTGTGGGGAGGAGGCTGACAGCTGTGTGTGCCCGCTGGGGGCAGGGGGGGCACTGAGTGATCTAAGGGGGCAGAGGGGGACTCAGTACAGACTTCTCATAAAACGCTAAGACCACACAGACCATCGCATGGCTGCAGTGGTCTGTAACAGAAATGCAGTGAATCTGAAACAAGTTCAGCTTCATCAATAATTAATACATGTGAATTAAAACAACCGAAATGCCACTTTTTTGGCTACTAGGTTGGTAAAAATGAGCAATGTAGGGTAACAGGTGCTCTCATAGTGGAGATGGACAGCAGTTTGGCCATGCGTCTCAGTGGGGAAGCCTAACACACACACACACACGTTCTGGAAGATGCGCACCAAAACATTTACACTGGTTCTATCCAACTAGTTAGGAGTGAGGATGACTTTTTCTACAAGGAATGTAAAATATTTGACTAAGGAAAGATGTATGTGTATGTACCCTTTGACATAATTCTACCTCTAGAAATCTTTCCTACAGGTATAAAGAAACATGAAGAGTGTTTCAGTGCACTTGGAAGAGCAGCCCAGGGGAAACGTTTTGACTGCGTGGGGCTGGTTAAACAGGTCCCGTGCGGCTTCTTAGGGCGCAGCACCGAGGACTGCGGCGTGCCGAGACGGGGCAGCCGCTACAATGGAGTCTGCAGTGGAAGCCAAGTACCAGCTGTTTAAAGGCTCCCGGGAGCATCTGGGACACCACTCAGCTGACGTATGTGGTGGAGCCAGTGAGTCAGGAGAAGGAAACCAAAAAGCGCACTCACCTCTTCGAGAAGAAATGACAGGCGGACTTCAGCAGGCAACGGGGAACCTGAGTCAGAAAGACAGTGGAACTGTTTTATAAAGACCTAGTTTTTACTTAGTGGTAAATGGAAAAGTAACTCACGGTCAGATTTGAAGTTCACTGCTTGACATTCGGGGTCATGGCATTTTTGATACCAAACTTCATTTTTCAGATCAACCACAATCCTTTGTTATAAAAAGAAAAAAAATTTAAAAAATTATTACCTAACAGCCACACTGGATGGAAAACAAAATTCAGCTCCATGTTGTTTAAAAGAGATATGCCTGAGACATAAAGATGGAGAAAACGTAAAAACTCAAAGCACAGGCACAGAAATACACCAAGCCAAAAAATAAACAAACTGGTCGTCAAAAATACACCTCACAGGAAGGTTCGGTTCCCACTCTGTATCCACCAAAGAGTCTAGTTTCAAAATACAGGGTGAGGCAAAAGTAGGTGTACAGTTGTTAGTTGGAAAATAATAATACAAGAACGCACTGTTCCACATACAGCTGTACACCTACTTTTGCCCCCCCTCCGTGTGTGAGCAAAATGGATAACTTCAAGGATAAACAAACCTACCATAAACCAAGATTTAAAAAATCATTTTTGATAAGTGATACAACAAAGCCAATCAGTAAGGATATAAAAAAATTATATAATTAAAAAGCAATTAAATTTGGTATGATAGTTATGAGTACTACTACTTCAAGTAATTATAAGCAACTTTTTATAAACATAAAAATTGGCTATGCCAGGTACAATGTGACTCATTAAAATTATTCACATAACATTCTCTGATCACAAAGCAAATTACTGAGAAATAAAGATAGCTACTAGAAAGACAAAATTAGAAATTAAAAACTTGTAAGTAACCAATGACTCAAGGAAAAATCAGTGAATGGTTAGAACTGGAAATACATATTCGAATAAGTGAAAGAGAGCTAAAGTAATCTTGAGAGGGCTTTCTTTCCATCTTAAAAGCTTATTTACCCCCCCAAAAAATGGCTAAAAACAAATGAGTAACTAGGAAAGGGAACAACAGAATAAACCCTAATAAACTAAAACATCAGAAGGAAGAACAAAAAGCCTTTAATCCTCACCCAAGGACATGGTTATTGATTTTAGAGGAAGATGGGGAGAGAGAGACAGTGACGTGCCACCTCCTGTGTGCGTCCGACCAGGGATCGAACCTGCAGCCCTTGGGCGTGTGGGACGAAGCTCTGACCAGCTGAGCCACCCGGCCAGGACAAGAACAGACTTTCTGAATATCAACAAGCTCAGATTGTGAAAACTGATAAAATACTTGTAAGATTGATAAAAAAAAAAAAATAAGGTAGAGACACAAATATTATTAGAAATTAAGTACAGATACAACTACAAATGCAGAATATACTGAAAATATAAGAATACTATGAACTTTTGCCAGTAAAATAGACAAAGTAATAGATAAAAATCTACCAAACTAAGCAAAATTTAAAAGTTACAGGACACGTAAGCAATCCTTTAACCACTAAATGTAAAATTTCAGTGCTGCAGAACCTTCCCACAGTTCCCAGAAAAGGAAACAAAACAACTGACGTCCCACGATCCCACGTGGTGGTCAGACGCATACCCAGGAGGGACAACTGCAGACAGCGGTCACACTGCCCCACAAACATGCCAGCAGCAACTCCCAGCGAGTGCTGGTGCCGCGGTTCCCAAACCACATGGCACAGCAGCGGAGGACGTCAGCATTTCCCCAGGGAGACAGTGACCCCGGGTGTCCGCCAAGCACCTTGCAAACTACTCCCAGGTCACATCCTCGGTATCACACGCTGTTCACTCCTTCCACTGACGTGCTCTCTGTAGAGCTGGGGTGTGGGAGGCGGCTGTGCTACCCCCAAACACCCATGTGGAGCGAGGCCTGGGGGGAGGGTGGCAGTGTCCAGCCTGACCCTGGTGTTCAGGAGGTCATCAGAGGACCCAGGTCCCGTGAACAAGTAACTGTGTTTGAGAAGGGTCAGTATCCACTCAGCAAGTACAATACAAATAGAGGTGACAGGTGCTGGTCAGAAGCTCATAATTAAAATTTGGTAATATAGCACAGGCTTCAAACTGAATTGTAACTATAAGTCATTTGTATATTCTCAACTTTAGAAAATAAAAATATGCTAAATATATTGATTACATAGAATAAACAACAAAATTACTTACATGATATTATTACTTTTGTGGGCTCTTCCAATGTTTTCACACCAGCGATATTTACAAATGTCAAAAACCAGTAATTGCTCTCGAAAAAAGTAGTTCCAACACCGAATTCCTAAAGTGCAAACAAAAAGTTTCAGCCCCGGCTGGTGTGGCTCAGTGGATTGAGCACTGGCCTGCGAACCTAAGGACTGCAGGTTCAATTCCCTGTCAGGGCACATGTCTCGGTTGCGGGCCAAGTCCCCAGTAGGAGGCGCATGAGAGGCAACCACACACTGATGTTTCTCACTCTCCTCCCCCCTCCCTTCCCCTCTGTCTAAAAATAAATATATATTTTAAAAGTTTCTAAAGGCATTATTACTTTATAACGTAACAGTTAATAAAAAAAGATGATCTTTACCTCCTTTAATGCCATTTTTATTCACCAAAGAAAGAACAAATTGATCAATTTCAGGGTAGGGCGAAGCCTGAAAACCTTCAATGTTTTCTACTGCAATAGAGAGAAAAATTAATCAAAAATTATAATGGCTAAAAGGTGTGTTAAATTTTGATTTAAGTTGTTCAGTAAAATCACAGGTCACCTTCCTTCCCACCTTTTTTTGCAATTTGCCTTTTAGCCAGCCATGTATTATCCTGCAGGGGAGCAAGCAGAATTCAAACCTCTCAATTAAGTCGAATGTCAGCTGGTTATTATGAAAGGCATTACAGTCACGTCAGTTGCAGCCCCTTGCATTCAGGAGCTGCCCTCGGGACTGAGGCCAGCTGGGCCCATTCGCAGGCTGGCCCGCACTCAGAGCTCCGCCCTCGCAACATTCATTATGCAGAACCTTCCACAAAACTTCCCCATCTGGTAAGGCCCTCCTGTGGCCGTGGCAATTCAGGACAGAAACAAGAACGCTCTGTAATCTTGTCTGAACGCAGACAAAACGGACGGACGTTTTCCAAGCCACAAAAAAAGGCCAACTGCCCCTTATCTTGTGTGATGTAAATAATGGCTGGCTGTTTACCAAATGCAGCTTCCGTCTCCCTGGAGAGTGCCTTCTTTCTCGATAAGATTTATTGAGATAATCACGGAACTGTCCCTGACGGACCCTCCTCAAAAGCGCCTAACTCAAGCTGAATCCTACTCCACTCCCATACTGGGTCACCCCACAGTCCCCTGTGGTGTGGGTCCCATCTCGGCCACCAGTCACAAGCTCGACTTGCTCAGTGCAGGCGTGCGCTCTGGTGGCGTGAGCTGCGGGCACTGACAGTTCAGTTGCATTCGGTACTTGAGAATCCACTGGAATAACCGAGAGCAATTTATTTCGAGGCTCACCCAGTGTTTAAAGACAGAATAATCTACTTTTCTTAAAGCCCATATGTCACTTACAGAGGTAATGTACATGACTGGAGAAAATCTGGAAAGTATATTAAAGCAGAACAGAGAGAAATAAACTCCAGTCAATGTCTAGAATAATTGTTAATCAGAAGAAAATAAATAGGTTATCTATATTTTCTAAAACTTGGGATCATACTCCACATACAACTTGATATCATTCTTGACTTACTTTCTCACCTAACATCATAAATGGACACTTTCCACCTAATACAGGCTTTATAAAGTTCATGACTACAGAGACTTATGTAATCAATCCTATTTTGTTGTACACTTAGATTGTTTTCACTTTTTCACTATTACAAATAATAGCCCATAATACGTATATAAAAATGTTCACTGGAGAGTTAGCGTATGAAATCTTAGGGAAAAAACCCTGTATGTTCTTCAGTATAGGAACGAATAGTATGTACAATGAATCTTATGAAAAACTATGCAGCCATTAAAAGAGTGAAGACATTCTCCATAATACTGGAAATACAGGGAAAACTCCTGGTTGTTGTATTTTGCTGTGTACAATGTACAATACTTTCCCCAAATTTTTGAGGGGGAAATAAGGATGCTCATTGTACATGGGTATGATGAATAATGGGCATGATAACCCCGTGTACAATGTGCATAAAAATGGGTGCGCGTTATACACAGCAAAATACGGTAAGTGGGAACTACTAACAGTGGTTACCCGCCTTTGCGTAAAGAGGGAGGAGTAGAATGTCTAGTTTTTTATGTTGATACGTGTTTATCCTTTACAAACTATATTATTTTCATATTTTTTGAAAAATGCTATAAAGTGAAAATTAGTGATTAACCTTTAAAAATACCTTTATATTCATTTTGGATAGAAACCTATTCAGTGTAAAAGATCGGTAGATATGAACACTTAAGATTTTAAAGGCAAAACAGATTTAGTGTCCTTAAATTTTTATAAAAAGTTATTTGTTTAAAATTACCTGAAGTGGTGGTACTATTAAAATGCCCAGGCTGTTTTTGTTTATTCATGGGTGTGTCACAGGTAAGAATTCGTAAAGTTGCTGAGAATCTGAAGAAATAAATAAGTTCAAGAAACAGTCACACTGTATTAGAATTAAAGAGACATGGCTACAGAAAGGAAACAGTTTCAGACAGTTCCGTATTAAAATCCTTTGTTCAACAGCTGCTGTTCTAGGGCAAGCCGCATGCACCAAAAAAGCACCAATCTTACCCACATGAAGAGTCGTTTGGGGATCATCTGATATCCCCCCTCAATCACAGAGTGAATCAGAGGACTCTGGGGCAGCTGATGCTAAAGAATGAAGTACAATTCTGTTCCCCAGACATCCAGAGCCTTTGAAACTTTGTTGCAATGATGTAAAAGTGTGAATAATAGGAGGAAAAGAGAAGGAAAGAGGGATGAGAGCAAAGGGGAAAATGGATAGACAAGCGAGGGAGTGGGCGATTGGACCGGGACCCAGCGGCAAGCGGCAGCACAGGGCGCCGCCATTTCCCCGCTCTGACCACGCCTCCACATACAGCGTCATAACCCAGCGACTCTGAGTGGCCCCACCCTGGTGAACCACCTAAGGCTCCACTGTATGAAACAGAAGAGGGGGCCGCCATTTCCCTGCTCTGACCACGCCCCCACCTACAGCGTCACAACCCAGCGACCTGAGAGTCCAAGGCTCCACTACTCATACTCACACTTAATGGGCACGTGAACAGACCAAAAAATGGCTCAAGAAGATCTCAAAGCCCCAGAGCCTATAAATCTAAGCAATGAAGAAACAGCAAAACTCTCGGACGCACAGTTTAAAACACTGGTGATCAGGATCCTCACAGAACTGGTTGATTATAGCCACAAATTAGACAAACATATGAAGGCGAAACTAATTGAAATGAATGGAATTGCACAGGAAACCAATAGCAATGAAAAGCAAACTGGGACTCAGATCGATGGAGTGGACCAGAAGAAAGCAAATAATGGCCAAACAGAAAAGAGTCAAGAAGCAACAATTCAAAAAAATGAGGAGAGGCTTAGGAACCTTCAGGACATCTTTAAACGCTCCAACATCCGAATTATAGGGGTACCAGGAAAGGAACAGCCACCACTGGAAAACTTATTTGAACAAATAATAAAGGAGAATTTCCCCAATCTGGCAAAGGAAATAGACTTCCAGGAAATCTAGGAAGCTCAGAGAGTCCCAAAGAAGTTGGACCAAAGAAGGAACACACCAAGGCACATCAGAATTACATTAGCCAAGATTAAAATGAAGGAGAGAATCCTAGAAGCAGCAAGAGATAAGGGGACAGTCACCTACAAAGGAGTTCCCATCAGACTGTCAGCAGATTTCTCAAGAGAGACCTTACAGGCAAGAAGGGGCTGGAAAGAGGTATTCCAAGTCATGAAATCCAAAGACCTACAACCAAGATTGCTCTATCCAGCAAAGCTTTCATTTAGAATGGAAGGACAGATAAGGTGCTTCTCAGATAAGATCAAATTCAAGGAGTTCATCATCACCAAGCCCTTATTATATGAAATGTTAAAGGGACTTATCTAAGAAAAAGAAGTTAAAGAAACATGAACAGCAAACTCACAGTTATTAACAACCACACCTAAAACAAAAGCAAACTAAAAGGACAGCTAGATCAGGAGTAGAAACATAGAAAGGAAGATCTCAAGGAGGGTTAGCAACAGGGGAGTGGGAGGAGGAGAAGTTGGGAAGAAGGTACAGAAAATAAGTAGCATAGACAGTAGATAGAAAATAGATGGGGGGGGGCAAGAATAGTATGGGAAATATAGAATCTAAAGAACTTGAGACACATGGTCATAAACTAAAGGGGGGTAATGGTGGGGACGGGGGGTAGGGTGGAGGGGAATGAAGGGGGAATAGAACAACTGTAATGGCATAATCAATAAAAAAATATATATTTTTGAGTGAAGGAGTTACACAAATTATATGGATGTGCATATATAGAAATATGTTAATAGTAATATTTCCAAATAAAATAAAACTAATTTTTATTTTCTTTATAGAAATGTTAGTCATTTTAGAAAAACTGTAATATTTAAAATATAATTATAAAAGGACACAGAGTAGTAAGTGGTTAGAAAATAAATTTAAACAAAAGAAAACAATAACCTAGATTTTTAGAAACCGACTTCCTTTTTTTTAAAGTAGAACGAATGCACAGAATTTACAAGTTCACGCTGTTCAATGCCACCCACTGCTTCCCACTCAGGAACAAGCGGTGGTCGACCTCTGACACCACGTACCTGACGTTGCTGACCAAAGAAGACAGGAAATACTGATTTTCCTCAGAAATTTTGTTTGACCGTGGAACAGAAAATGTGTTATCTTCAGCAATCTCCAGAACCACAAGTTTTCCTATTTTTGATGACTTATACAGCCGAAAGTTTCTGTTTCTTGTATAAACTCCTGTATCAAAAATTTTTTAAATATGAATGCATGCTTTCAGTTTGTTTTTATAGTCAGCAAACATTAACTTAATTTTGGATCGCACTGTCAGAAGAAATGATTGGTTCTGATTCAACATGGCAACCCAGGAAAATCCTGAACACTGAGAAAAATATCCTCTTTCCATGGGCACAGCGAACCTGCAGCTACACATGGAAGGATTTCTTCTGAAAACACTTAGAACCCAGTGGCAGGTCCTTCATGTATGGAAAGTGAAGGGAGACCACACCACAGCAGGTGGAAAAGCCCAACACACATCTCACCGTGACCCCACTGCCGGCGTGGCCACCCACACCAGGAAGGAGACGGAACCCTGCCTGAGGACCAGCAACTGAGAGGCGACCCCTCCAAACGCCTGGCTCTGAAGACCAACTGGGTTCACGGCCATGGAATCCGGAGGGGGTGCTGTGGCAAACGGAGGCGTGGCCCTTAAAAGGCCCCCACATGGACCCACACACCCCAGGCCCCAGCGCAGGAGCAGCCTGAACCGCACCAGCCTTTATGAAGAGAAACCCACTCGCTAACTGCGATGTGTCAGCCCGTGGGGCTGGGGCCTGTGGAGCCGCTCCCTGGGGACGGAGGCCACCACTGTCCTGCTGTTCCCCTGCCTTGTCACAGCTGATGGTCCCCGCCCTGAGGCTTTAAGACAGGCACCCTCTTCCATGTTCTCATCCTTTGCTTTGCTAAAGCCAGTGGGCACCACCTTCTTCTTCCCCCTTCCCCCTCCGTTTCTTCAGCAGGTGCGCACTGTGTGCTCCGGCCAGTGGGCCCCATCTCTGTGCTCTCCCTGCTGTGTCCAGAGCGCCACTGTCTCCCAGAGGAGAGCTTCTGCATGGCCCGGCACCACGGCTTGCCTCTCGGGGTGCACCGCTGGACTGCCTTGCCTTCCTGGGTCCCACAGGACTGGGCCAGTTGGAGAGGCAGTTCTCCGCAGGCTCCCTCCCCTGGGGCGCTGCCCAGACTGTAGAAACCACTCACGGCTTTGCTGTGACAGGGACTGCACTGCTCGTCCCAGAGCCATGCCCTCCGTGGCTTCAGGTTGGGCGCACACTCGGAAGCTATGGAGCTATTCCTAAGGGACGTGAGCCGGGGATGCTGTCTTTGCACGCCCCTCTCCCTCACCAGCATGTCCCAGAGAGGAGCTTACACACTCATCTAGCACCCCTATTATTGTGACTCCTGCTCAGGAAACACCTCCTGCCTGTCTGGCTCTGGCGGCCAGGGGAGCTGGCACTTGCAGTCCCAGAGAACAGGGTTGCATATATATATCTGTGTTCTTTAAAAGCCGCAGCCCAAGGGTCTGGCTTCCAGCCGGCATAGACCCAGGTGCTGAGATGCTCTCCTTTGAGACACAGACTGTTCTCAGCACTCTGCCAACAGCTGGAAGCTTCTAACGGTAAAAGGGCTTGGACAGCCACAAAGGCGTGAGAGCAAAAAGAGCTCGGGCAGGGTTAACAGTAACATCCCTACCACACAAACCCAGGCCTTCGAGGCTGCAGAGGTGGCTGTTCCATCTAATGCACAGAAACCAACACAGAGTTAAGAAGTATGTTCCAAAAGAAAAAAAAGATAAATCTTCAGAAGAAAAAAAATGAAATGAACTAATTTATCTAATGTAGAGTTCAAAGTGGTCGTCATAGAGATGTTCAGTGAACTCAAAGGAGGACAGATAAATGGTGAAGACTTCAGCAAAGAGACAGAAAATTAAGAACGTACCAAACAATCCACAGTACAGAGGAGTACAATAACTGGACAGAAAAACGTACACAAGGGTTCGACAGCAGACTGGATGAAGCAGAAGAATCAAAGACCCAGAGAACCAAAAACAAAAGAATGTAAAAGCGAAGACAGTTTAAGGAACTACGGTACCACATCAAGGGGACTCCCATTTGCATTATAGGAGTCCTAGGGTGGGAGAGTTGGACGGGGAGAGAGACAGAGAGAGACAGGAGGAGAAAACTTATTTGAAGAAATAATGGCTGAAAATATCCCTAACCTGGGGAAGGAAACAGACATACTAACAAAGGAAGCTCATAAAGTTCCAAATAAGAGGAACCCAAAGCAACCCACACCAAGACAAATTATAAATAAAATGAAAAAAAAATGTTAAGAGAGAGAATCTTAAGAGCAGTAAGAGAAAAACAAGTGGTTCACATAAGAGAATCTCCGTAAAACTATGAACACAGTTTTCAGCAGGAACCCTGCAGGCCAGAAGGAGGAGCGCGATGTATTCAAAGTAGCGAAAGAAAAACACTTCCAATCAAGAGTATTCTACCTGGCTGTAGGGGAACTCGCTTCAGAGATGCAATTTGGCTCAAGCAGCAAAGGTGTCTGGCAGATACTGAACACTGTGACTGTGTAATGCTCTGTGACCTCACACTGGGCTGAATGCCCAGAAAACTGAATGCAGCCCAAAGACAAAGACAAATGAATTGCGTAGAGTGTAACAAATTCCCGATGGTGTCTTCTAACTTTTCTTTGACTTAGTGATACACTGTTCTCTCAGGAGGTCTGTACTACCATCGTCCATCTGGCTGTGCTACTAAGCCCCTCTGAAAAGGAGCTCTGCCTTGGGAAGGGTGTGGATTCCTGCCAGCCTGCCACCACTAGGAGCAGCTGCTTTGCCCGTACATGTAAGTTTCTCCTATTAAAGCTGCTATGGATTTGAATAAGGCTACGTGTCGGTTCTTGGCAGTGGATCCTAAATTTAGACTTCGGGGATTTCCCCCAACTCTGGCAAAGTTATCACTCATATTCAAGGATAGTTCTGCAGATAAGCAAAATCTACCACTAAACCAATCTTACAAGAAATGTTCAAGGGCCATCTTAAAACTGAAAAAGGCACTAATTCATAATAGGAAAATATATGAAGGCATAAATTACACTGGTAAATGGTAAAAGATAAATGTATAGTAAGAGTACTGGATTAATCACTTATAAAACAAGTACAAAAATTTTTTAAAGTGGCAAAAATAGCTAACTGCAGTAACTAAAGGATATACAAGATAAAAATGTAAAGTGTGACATCAGAAACATAAAACATGGAGGAAAGAGACAGGAAGAACTTTAGGATGCATTAAAACTTGTTACCAATTTAATGTATCTTGTTATAATACAATGTAGGTTGTTATAGGTAAGCTTCATAGTAACCACAAGGCAAAAACCTATAGTAGATGCACAAAAGAAAATGAGAAAGAAATCTAAGCATACCATCAAAAAGAATCACCAAGCCACAGAGAAACAGTGACAGCAGAAAGGAACGACAAAACAGCCAGAAAACAACAAAGTGTCAGCACACACTCACTCGGCAAGAATTACCTTCAAAGTAACTGCACTGAAAACTCCATTCAAAAGGCAGAGTGCTGAATGGGTACAAAAACAAACCCATCTACGTGTGTCTACAAGATATTTCAGATGCCAGGACACATGCAGACTGAAAATGAAGGGATGGGAAAAGATATGTCGTCTGAATGGAAACCAAAAGAAAGTGGAGGTAGCTACACGTACACTCCAGACAAAATAGACTTTAAAACAAAGGTTATGGCAAGACAAAGCCAGGAGTTACTTAATGAAAAAGGGGTCAATCCAACAAGAAGATAGTAACATTTGTACATTTTTATGCAACCGACACAGAAGCACATAAATATATAACAGAAATATAAATACACCTAAAGAAAGAAAGAAATATACAGCATAACAATAATAGTGTGGGAAATTAGTACCTACTCAGACAAGTAATGGAAGGACCACCCAGAAGAGCAACAGGAAAACACCAGCCTGCAAAGACACGTCAGATCAGATGGGCACAGCAGATACATACAGAACACTGCATCCTAAAGCAATATAACTGGCATTTCCTCCTGAGTGCATATGGAAAGCAAGGGCAAAAAACAAGTCTTAACAAATTAAGAAAACCGAAATCATTCCAAGATTTTTTTTCAACCAATAATGTGAAACAGAAATCAGTTATGAGAAAACCAGACAATTCAAAAATACATAGAGATTAAACAACGTGCTACTGAACGACCAAAGGGTCAACAAAGAGCTCAAAAGGGAAATAAAAATCCTCTGAGACAAATGAAAATGGAAACACAGCACAAGCAGAACTTACGGGGTGTGGCCAATGCAACACAAAGAACGAATGGTAAGTGCCCTGTCAAGAAACAAAAACCTCAAGCAACCTAACTTTCCACCTCAAAGAACTAAAAAAAGAAAACCAAAGCCCAAAAAGTTAGTAGAAAGAAGGAAATAACAAAGGTCGGAGCAGATATAAATGAAACAGGGACTAAAACAGACAACAGAATGAGACCAAGAACCGGTTTACTGAACAGATAAAACAGGCCTCTGCCTAGACTCACGAGTGGGGGACGGGTCTCAAGGCGACAGGAAATTAAAGAAGACAAAAAAGAAGAAAAGGAAAGATTTTCCATGCTCGTGGTTTGGAAGATTTAATATTATTGCAATGCTTATACTACCTCGAACAATCTATAGATTCAATGCAATCTTCATAAAAATTCCAATGGCAGTTTTCAAAGAAATAGAACGAATAATCCTAAAATTTATGGCAACAAAGCCCTCCCCCTAACAAACAGTCAAAGCAATCTTGAGAGAGAACAAACCAGGAAGCACCACTCTCTCTGATTTCAAACTCTATTACAAAGCTGCACCAATCAGAACAGTATGGTTTTGGCAATAAGACACACAGCTTAACGGAACAGAATAAAGAGCCCAGAAATAAATCCACACATACACAGCCAGTTATTTTACATCGGAGGAGCCAAGCATATACAATGGGGTCAGGAGGGTCTCTTCAGTAAGTGATGTTAGGAAAACTGAACAGCCACATGCCAAGGAGTGAAAATGGACCACTATCTTACCCCATAAAAATTAACTCAAAGTGAGTGTCAGACTCGAATGTGAGATCAGAAACCATAGAACCCCAGGAAGAAAACACGGGCAGT